AAGGGAACCATTTCTTTTGGAAGTCTGGGAATCCAAGGAAACCACTTCTTTTGGGGTCGACCAGTCCTTTTAGACCACGTTGGACATAGTTGGAGCTCCTTGGGTAGTTTCAAAGCAAAACCCAAGCAGCAAGGCATTTGCTGAGGGTCCACACGGCCACATCCATCCACTGTCAAAAGCTGGACTTCGGGAACATTTTGCACCGCCTTTTTATTTTGGAGCGGTCACTAAAAGGTCCCCATTCCCGGCCAACCCACACGCAAATGTGTCAAACTGGGGGGCCGTTGGGGATGCTCAAGGAAAAGAACCCCAACAGGACGGGTCCCGAATTTGCGACACATTGCCAATCACAGAGAAATCCCAAGTAAAGGACCTTCATCACAGCTCGTTCTACCCCCGAGAACGATCGGAGAGCCAGCCGTAAAATAGGCAAAGCATTCATTCCCAGGAGGGCAATGCGCCTATGGCATCACCAGCCAAGTGGCTTCGCTTGTAGCCTGGGCCGGGCTCTGAAACTATCAAATCCAATCCCCAGGCCCTGGGGGGCGGGTCTTGAAACCCAATTTCACTGCAATCCAAACGGCGTTGCCAATCGCATCAGCCAAAAAAAAAGTTCAAGCAGCGCGGAGCTGCAGGTGACGCTGCGGGAATTAAGCGTGTACTGGTCGGAACGCAATCTTGCCAAACGACCTGCGTATTGGCGCTTTGGGACTGGACGCATTTTTTGCCTCCCGGTGTCTCCTAGGGTTCCGATTCTGTTAACATCACCATGCTCCTGTCTGTACGGTTGCCATGCCACCCGCGTCGTTACATGCCGCCGACATAACCATGATCATGATGTTCGCTGCATTGTCACGATGCTGCCTGCATATCATATTGCGTGTCGAGGCCTGTACGCCTGAAGGCGACTAATTATTTGTTGTGTTTGTTTGGGAAAAAACAGCACCAACTTTGCAGCGACGTTGGACATCATTTGGCAGCTTGGGATGCATCCGGACCAGTTGCCAGGCAGTATGACACCACCTTACTCACAAAAACTCAGGATGTCGCGGCAGGGGGAGAATGGCAATAATTGGTGGGAAATGAGCCGCCGCCAAAATCATTGCGTGCCAAACAGCAATCTCCAAAAAAAGCAAGTTTTACATAGACGCCTTCAATTTACAGGGCTTTGGGTCATGCGTACCTCGTTCCCAACGCGTTTTGGGTCATACGTGCCTCCTTCCCCATGCACATCCATGTCTCATATGAACCCGCTCCTCCTAGCGCAGGCTGGTGTCACTTTTGGGGATTGCTTCTCCATTCCACTGCATATCCCTTTCACGAATAGGTAGTCGATTGGATTGTTTCCGGGGAACACGGGTAACACATGGATGCCCGGTGAGCTAGTGCCACATCGCTCCATGGGAGACACGGCCTACGAGTGGCGTAAGGGGGGATGAGTCTGAGAGAGTGTCTCCTTTTGAGGTTGGGATTGCACTTCAAGAAGCCACCAATATTCACGGGCTCCCAACATTCTGATACACACCCAAATGAACTTCCGGCTGATCAAAACCCCAAAACACACGATGGCATGTCAGGGCAGGCGTCCAACCCACCGATTCCTGGCTTGCCGCAAGGAGTGGCCCAACAACGAGTCCAAAACATCTCCGCTGGCTTTTCGGGCACATCCTAGATTAAGACAGCAGCGCTTTGACAATTCAATCATTACCTACCCTAAAGCCACCGCAAAACAGAACCAACCCTAAACCACCCTAAACCTCCATAGGGGTGCAAGCAAGCAAGGCAGCCAGCCGGCAAACAGGCAGGCAGCCAGGCAAGCAAGCACACACGAGCAAAACTTTCACATTCTGTCGGACGTCACGTTATACGTCATCCGAGCCGCTGTAAGGGAGAGAAGTCACCAAGGACTCCGGATACAGCCTCTCCGTCTTGGAGATGCCTGCCGTGGACACTTCGCAGTAATCTATACAGTAACCAAATCTGACGCCCGGCCTTACAGCACCTGCTTGCGCATCGCATGAAACTTTGTTCAGGCAAAACAGAATGAAACGAGACATTCTCGAAGACCCCTGGATTGAAGTTCTTACCCAATCGCGCCCGCGCACCTGACTGGAGCTGTAGCTCTTGCCCTGTCTGCGTCAGGACATTGGCACACGGGGACCTGCGCGGCGACTTGGGATTGGCGCACAGGCCTCGTAAAGACATTGTCGGGCAAGGAGTCAATGCGCTTCCAGGATTCCATGTTGATCTGGGGTTCTGGGTGGCAGAGTATTGCATTTCAGCAACCCCAACAATGAGGGATTCCAATAGAAAGTTTCATGAGCGAAAGGCCGCATCGTGAAGTGGTTGCCATCATTCGCTCATTTGTGATGTTGGCGGCCGCAGGAAAACAACAAGTAGATCCAACTAGTGTCCAAGGGCTAACGGCGTGGTGTCCAGGCCAACATTGGCAAGTGGGCCCGCGTGAGGCAAGGTCCTGCACTTGTTGAGGCAAAGCCCTCCCTATTCCGCAAGGGGATCAACATTCATCCGTTTCTGCTTGTCCATGGACAAGGCGTTTGACACGTTCGGGTGAAGATTCTGCCCGCCTCTCGCCGACGCCGGGCACCTTGGGGATGACGGTCGTGAGCTTGGCGTCTGTGCCAAAGGACCGGGAGTTCTGGGTGCCCAGGCGGGCGTGATCCTTCGGGCTTCGGGCCCTTGACATCAACAGGCATGTCAGTGCAACCGGTTGGCCGGCCTATCCGTTGCTCATGTCAGTTGTCAAAGTTCAATGAACATCACCCTGCTAAAAGGAGACTATCCAACAGCTTGACTGGCCAGTTGATGCTTAAACCGCCCCACGTAGCCCCAACGCTTGTGAACCGGGAAAATTCCAGCCCAAACAGCGAAGCACATCCTTTTTCACCCAGCCTGCTTTACACGTGTCCTCTTCATAGGTGATGGTATCTACGTGGTGCCCATCAAAGCTTGCAAGCCACAAGGCGGGATTGACCTTTGCACTTCGTAGGTATTGCTTGTTGTCCCTGAGAAAATATACGAAAGGCAAACCAGCCAGCCCAAGGCAAATGTGGCAAATTAGCATGCGGAGCAGCGTGCAGCCGGGCAATGTGTAGTGGCAGCATGTGGCAAAACAGTAGCCCGGACAGGGTGCCAAAATATCGAATAAGAATTGCAATTGCAGCGCACTGAAAGTCATTCAGACCAGGCGACCAGGCTCTACTGCAAAAAGCAACAAACGCACACAGATGTGTTCATAGTGTGGGATGGAGGGCGGACCAGGGGGAATCCAACCCTTTGTAGACTGTGCGCGATTCCATTGGGCAAACGGGACCGCCGTTTTTTTGCCCTCCAGCATTTGGATAACACCTAGTTGGACGCATATTTCAGTCACCTGTTCTCACCAGGTGTTAAATGCTTTGCATGTCAAGGGCCCCAACAGCTGATCGTTCTAGGGGTAGCTTCCCCATTCTTTCCAGGGATCCTTCCTTCTAGAAAACCACCAAAAACCCTAGAAAAATGATGGTTTTTGAAAAGAACAATGGCTGCAAATAATGGGGAATCAACCTCTAGAATCGTGCAAAAATCACGGAATGCTGCCGTGTTGAACTGGCAACCCACTGGCGGCCGTAGCGCCACTGAGGGCGAGGAGGCCGGATGTATCGGCGTCATCGTAGAGAAAGCCGTGGGGCGTGCAGCCTCCGAAGCCGCGTGGTAGCCCGGATAAATCTGAGGCTGTACTGCTTGCTTGTTTGATTGCTTGGCTGCTTTGCGCCATTCCTGTCATCAACAACAAGCCCTGCTTGAATCAGTGAGTCGTTGGGAAATCTGAATGCTTCGAAGAGCCTGTGCTTCTTGCAGCCCTTTCTGATGAATAAATGAACAAAAAGAAACACAGCCCTCTTGCAATCATATGAGATTTGTTCTTTGTTCTCCTATTTTTCTGATGACATGATTCAACCTTCCACGAACCCTTCCGCCAAGCTTCTGCGGCGTGAACAGTTGCTTCCACGGCCGCTGTGCACTTGATTTTGGGCTTCTGTTGTTGATGCAAATCCCTTCCGCGAAGCTTCCCAGAGGCAAACCCTTCCGCCAACCATCCGCGACATCCCACCCAATGTTTGCCAGACACATGTCGACCCGCTAACATGGTACATGTACCGGTTACAGAAAGAAACGAAGCTCAATATGCTCTGCCAAATGCTGGTTCCCTTGTTTGCCTCTATATCATCCCTCCCCCTCAATCTTTTATACGGTCCCCCAAATGATAAACATCAGCTAGGCACAATATTCGCCATTTTTGGTCAGAGCGTAACGTCTTAACTCCACATCCCCAATCCCCAAGTCCAAGAGGCAGCGAACGACTCGCCAGCGAAGGTCGTCTTGTTCCTCTGGAACTCCTGGCCATGCCAAATTTTAGCCCGTCATCACCGCCTCGCGCGTCCCCGCGCATGTCAGTTTTTGACTTACCCCCCTCACGCTCAGCAAAACATGAAATTTGAGAAGCATTCCAAGAGGACTGAACATGGACCTCCAGAAAATGTGTGTTTCTATCTGCAAAAATGCTACAATCGTGCATCTTCACCCGCTGTCCCTCCCATTCTTGAAAACAACAAGGGAAAAGCCTAGAACAAAGCACACAAGGCAAACCAAGACAGAAAGTGCACAAACCAATGCCAACGGCTGCAAACGATGCCTGACAATGGAAGGGGGGGAGGGAACGAAGCGGTGGGGCGGGCCTCCTACTCTTAGAACAAGGTCTGCAAGAGCCATCAAAAAATGGCGGATAGTGGCGGGCGACGCGTCGCCATCGCAAATTGAAAATGGAATATGATTGGGAACCCCTCCCCACACAAAATGGGAAATCACACCTCCCCAAACCGACATCGCATTGTAGGTAAGCCTGGGCAAAATAAAGGGAACTCATTCCAAAACCTACCTCACTCACCCCCATATTCCACTTTCGAGGGTGTAGGCATAGCCGTCCAATCCCAGGCAGGGTTTCTTGCCTTCCCCTTGCTCACTCTGAAATGACCCAAAAGAAAGCATGTCACTCACACTGACATGGGTTCGAAGCAGTTGGGATGGATGAAGTTTTTTGAAGACTTTGATAAGCTATTGGTACCTACCAACTGGTAAAGGGGGTTGTTCACCTACAGTTAGGACAATACTTATTGTTTGTGCCTTTGGTTTTTCAGTTGTTTGCTCCTTGCGCCCGGGCCTTTACAAAGCAGATTCTGTGTTCGGCTTGAAACACGCAAGGCATAATTATATTTAGGTTTCGGCTTGCCGTGTTTGTTGCAAATTCGGCGTGCGAAGTGGATTCCGTCCATACATACACACGCTCAATCAACAACAGGGCTTGAGAGAAATAAACAACCCATCTATCACGTCGATTGCAGTAAACCAACCAAACAGGTACAGTTCCTATTAAATAGGAAAGCCAGCTCGGAAACAAAAAGGGAAAGCGGGGGGCTGGAAGAGAAAGCATGCAGGTCTTTTTGCTCCTCCCTGGGATCACTAGCCAGCCCCTGCCAGCATTCCAGCCAGCATTTCCAGCATCACCAGCCAGCATCACCTGCTTCAGCAGCATCATCTGCCACAGGCGATCGCGACTATTCCTCCACTATTTAAACCCCTTGACCTGAGGTCGCTTTCCGTCATTCTACTAAAATTCCTTGAGTCAATGACTCGAAATACACTTCCTGACTGAGTGGCTTCGCCAAACGAGTCCGAGCTTCTTGCTTTCCACTAACATGGTCCAAACCCAACAAGCAGAATAAGGTCCAGCGACCCAGCGAGTGAGAGCTACAACCAGGGAGACCCCTTCAGCTCCTGCACCCGGGTGGTGAGATCGGGGCGGTTGACCCGGCGCCAGGCGTCCATGGCCAACTCCACCAAGACCTGCAAGGAATCGTTTGAACAGACGTTACGGCAGTTCCTGGCTCTGCGTCCAAATAGGCACATTTGGACGCTGAGGAATGTCCTAGGTCTTGAAGTTGAAGTTGTCTTCTGCTTGATTGGATTATTGAATTTGTATAAACAGCACAAAACATATCTCTTGGCGTGTTTTCTCAAGCCAATGCAAGTTTCCTCTCGGCTTTGAGCCAAGGTGCAAAAGGGTAACCAACAAGCAACATACACCCATCTGTGTTCTTATTTGTGGGGACTCTTTGTTTCACAGCACGCAAACCCACCCTCCCCCCCCCCTTCCCTCCAAATAGGTTACAGGCTGTTAAAAATCCTGGAGGTGAAAGCAGCATCACACATCGTGTTTTCCCCTGGCTTTTCTGCAATTTGCAATCTCTGGCGCATGCTTGGCAGTGCACGGGAGAATTAGGACAGCATTGGTTGTATATACTTGAGGAGCGGGTGAACGAAAGCTAGCAGTTGTTGCATGAGATGGGTCGGTGACAGAGTGGATTCATAGCCCGGCAAGATTCGTAGGATGCGACACGCAAACGCACATGGTGGCGTGGCAAACCTTGAAAAATGAAAACAACGAGAGGCGTCAGAAGCCGTCTTAAAGCACCTCTGGGTTCTGCATGCTGCGTGTGCAAAGATTCTTGCGAGGTGGTTTACCGAGAAGACTGAGGTCTCAAATGAACAAGCTGAATCGGTGGAACATGTAAAAGTTCGTAGCACCAAGTCCAAAACGGGCAAACCGAGACTGCTGAACACTGAGCCACTGCCCGGGGGGGGGGGGATGGACCAGGGAGGAATCGAGCCTGAGACCGGGGGGGGGGGGGGGGGGGGGGTCTAAATAATTGATGTTTTTCAATCTTTTCGGCTCAAATAATTGAAAAAATCAATCTTTCGGCATTTGAGCCCCTTACCTTGCTTACGCAAGGAGAAACTTCAGCTAGCTAAAGCTAGCTTTCGTGATAAAAGGTCAAAAACCATTTTTTTTGGCATAGTAGCAGTTCAGTTGCTCCAAAATCTGAACCAACAAACTGACGCATAGCTGAAATCAATCTCAATGGGAAGCTGATACCTCCAAACGAAGCTATGCGTGTAGCGAAACACATTCGAATTAAGCTGAGTTGGAACAGTCTTGCAATGGCTGCCACCATTTGTCTACACATGGAGTCCCCACTATGAAGCAAGCGGGTCGTTTTCGTCCTCCCCTCGTCACAAAAAAACTATTCTTATCTCTTCTAGCACATTCATGTTTGCTGGGATGGACATGATCGCTCTCTAGACTCTTTTTGCCAGCATCTGCAACCAACATTGGCCATGCATAAACCTGTGTGCACTGGCACGTCTGTTCGCGTGCGTACAAGCTTTTCAGAACAACCGTAGCATGCCCCCCCCCTCCCACACACCCCGCCCCGGGCTCTGCTCACAACTAGAATTCGACACATCACAGCCTGAAACAGCAAACAGCAAGGGCAAGAAAAGCACCAAAAGATCCATTTAAAACAAAAAAAAAATCAGCCTGTTTCCTCCAAATAAGGCAGAGAACTGTTGCGGGTCTGAGGGTATGAAGGTCTGCCAAATATCCAGATCGCAGTTTTGAAGACACAGCTCGGGCTCTAAGATTCAGAACAACGTTGCCCTAAACAGGTGCTGTTCAATGCACTTATCGCTGAATTCCGAAAGGCGCATACTGGAAGCAAGGGCAATTGCTGACGACACCTGACAATTAGCAGTATTCTGACTGGGTCATGCTGTCGTGTTGTGCATCTGAACCTGACGAGCGAACAACGTCGATACATGCATGTTAATAGTAAACAGTCCTGCCCGTTGCCTAAGCAAATATCTCGCAGCCGGGTTGTCCCAAAACGACGCCCTGAGCCGACACGACTCCGTCACTGTTATGGCAGGCGTTCAGCTATCTAACGAAGCATCTGTGTAACAACCCAACTCATGTTGAAAACACTGTTGTTTAAGCAAGCTGGCACAAACCGAGCTGCCCCATACGCCCTGATAGGAATGATCGGAATGATAAGAAGACACTTGCCAAGGAAAGTGTCAAACACTACTGCAAACAGGACAATGACTGCAAACCTGGGTTCGCAAAGAATGCCGACCAAGGAGCAGAAAGCGCCAAGACCAGCAAAAGGCTCAACCAGCCCGGAATTGACTCGAATAGGTTGGTAGCCACCTAAGTCGGAAAAGCTACCGTTCGGCGACAGCTAACCTGAAATCATCTAGCCCTCGTCTACTGGGAAACCATATGTCTCATTTAGGCTGCAATACACGGAGCATAGTTCGTATACACAGATATAGCTTGGCTTATATTATATGCGTGCGGAGCCATTAAGGGCACATCCTCAAGGCTACACTGGCTGAACCAGGGGTGCAACCTTGACAGGAGTCTGTGCTCAACAACTGGACACGCAAAAAGGATTCGGCCAAATGGTGAGTTTCTTTTTGGTGCCTCCTGAAGAGCCATCCCAAAGAATGGGTCTCCTCAGTAGGACTCTCCCCGCGGCACATGAAACCTGCAGGCATTGTCGTCGCACTCGCCAGCCAACATAAACACGCACCAAGCATTGAAATAATGATGGCGAACAACCTTGCGACTCCAGGGTCCCCCAACACCATTCAACAGAGTCATTGAATAATCATCAAACGACGTACTGGCGACGAGCCAGCTTTTTCAGAGAAGCCCTTTGTTTCGGCAATCTTCGTTAGGAGCAACTATCTGGCTTCAGCATGGCTCTTCGCTCGGGAGCGCTGGGGTGTAATGTGCTGTTGCCGGCCAGCTGTGGCTCCTGAAGAAAAAACTTGATCCATGGCGCCCGGGTTCCAAACAACTCCCACAGGGGAGATGACTCCGGATTTCGCCGGAAGGAAACTCTTCCCCGAAAACCGACCCTGAGGCGCCGGCATCGTTGAAGGACGGGTTCAGCAAGTTCGACATGCTGGGGTTCGAGTAAATGAAGAGGATAGGCCTTATCAAAGAAGCCGCGAGACCTGGGGGAAACCCATGCAACTCCAAAATCTGGAAGCTCTGAAAAGCCTGAAAACGACGCGAATCAGCTCAGTAGAGTCGGTGTACCACGATCCCCATCGATAAAATCCATGAGGCGTGCAACACATGAGCAACGAACGGGAGCAATGCGATTACTCAACAGATTGCATAGACACCGGGCAGTGACACAACAATGAACACATGAAAACAATTCAGCAGAAACCAAATTTAGACGACGCAAAGAAGCACTGAGAGCCGCAAACTTCTCTCGCCCACTATGCTGCGATTCCCGAAGGCAGCTCCTGCTGGTAGCCTTGCAAGCAAACACTCTTTGTTTGGGCCGGAGGGTTTGTTTGGACCGGAGGGGAGACATTTCTATGACCTTCTGCGAAGCAAATTGTTGCCACACATCCTTCAAATGGTTCAATGATCCGAGCGCGGGATTCGGATAATTTTCTCCCATCACCACCACACCCAAGTTCTGCAAACTGGCCATGCACTCATGCACGAGCGTTACAAACTGGCGATGCGACCTATGCCACAAGATCGCCCGCTTCAGGAAAGCTTGAAACAAGCATCAAGCGCAAACGACAATCATACACTGAGTTGGGGCAGTAACAAAACATGAAGTAATGCTATTTGCGTCAATGAACAGTGCGTTCGCTCGTGTAACCAGTCCGGTAAAATGGCATACAGGCTTCGGGTCGGTAGCATGTCCTGTACGCATATCATCTGCAAGTGCGGCCATGCCACGGAAACAACATCACCGAAATGATTGAGATCAAGATCTGCCAGTCCATCCACACCTTGCACACGGGTTACACCAAGAAAATTGGGAACCAGCCTTGTCAACCCCAAAACTGCTTTTTTGGCCACAAACCAAGAGACAAAATCAAGAGACGGAAATGGGGAGGGTGTTGGACTTTGTTGAGAAAAGGTTCTTAAAAGGGCTACGCAAAAGTGTTCTTGCAAGGGTACTTCGAAGCTGTGGCACAAACCAAAGCAGTAAAAAGATCCCGCAAAATTAGTCGGAGTAAAGTCAATTCCTGGACTCCCTCACGATTCTCGCCAAACCCTGTTCAAGTTCCGTGCCGGCCATCCAGTCCGGCGCCCGAAACTGTCAGACAAATGGACGACAAACGACAGGGGCATAGAACGCGTTGCTAGCCCCAAAGGGCATGTGACCCCGGAACAATCACCTCCGCACAAACGATCTGCTAACCCGTGGGTGCTTCTCAAAATGGGCAGGACCACTACTTTTGGATTTTCCTATCACCAGCCAAAGGCTTTAACATTCCTACTTCACAGGCACGCAGAAGACTTCAGGTTGTTCATGGCAAATTCAATGCTCATGGGAAACATGCAACGAAGGGTCAGGCTCACGAGGCATGCCAAACCCTGGCTGGTTTCCATCTAAAGCGGACCCCTGGTTCTTGACAACCGACATGAGTTCCCATTAATAGGAACCCACTAAGGACCCGGAAATCTATAGGCATTTGCCCTGGCTGAAGCCAAGACAAACCCCTAGCTGGCTGCAAGAGAAGGGTTCGGTGAGAGCATCGCTTCCCCTCCGTCAGAGACCAAAAAAAAACACTTGCCACGGATCCTGAAAAGGTTCCTGAAAGAAATTATCCAAGATCCGCCTGCTTTCCAAGAGAATCACCACATGCATCCGTTCAGTGACCCATGGTCTTTGGCTAGCTTCCACTGGCTTGAGTCCACTAGAAAACACACCTCCAAAAGTGACAGGTTTCCTTTGAAGCCAACAGGGAGAAAAAAAACACAATATTTCCAGTAGTGCTGGATTCCCTTGAAAACCCAACAGGGGAAAATGTACCATATTCATTTCAGCAAAATGGAAGCTATAGTGGCCGTGTGGTTTTCTCCGCGCGCCTGGGCGTGGAGCAGCAAAGTAGAGTTGGCCACCAGCACGCAGCTCCAATAGGACCAAGTGCCCAGGGAGAGGTAGTCGGTGAGGCCCGCCGGCTGCCCGCCCCTGGGAGGGGGATCGGCACGCACTGGGTCCAGTGAGGGTGGCGGGTAGGGAAACTGAGGGAGAAGTGGGCAGAAGGGAAGCCAACGGCCTGTCCTTGTGGGAAAAAATGGAAAAAACAGAATGCCACGAGTAAGTGGATGGAAGCAAGCTGAAACCAGTGGAACCAACCAAACCTGACCTACAAGAACACCAATGGGGTTGAGGTTTGAGGGGCGAAGCAGTTGACATGAAGCATCGCTGCACGCAGGCTTACGCACTCGGACTCCAGGCGTTGGAGCATCATTTCCCATGAGGCCTTCTATAGCTGATCTCAAGAAAAACATTTCAAACCAAAAAGCTATTTATTGAGTCCCGATGTTGGTTCAAACTTACAGCCCATTGCCTGCCCAGCGACTTCCGTTTGCACCCTGGAAAGTGCTCTGCACTGGAAAAAAAGGCATCTGCTTTTCCAGGTGCGACCCGCAGTCAAACGGAAAAATTGAACATCCCAGAAAAAAGAAAGACGCCACCACAGCGGATGACGGTTTCAGAGCAATCACTACTCAAGTGAACTTTTCTTTAAGAAAGAACTTCCCTTGTGCAGACCGCATTTTTGGGCGTCAACCACCCGACTGGACATACACACTTGCCGAAAGAACCCGAAAAAAATGAAGTCTTTGGGAGCTTCACTAGAGAAGGGCCCACAAAGGGAACCACAAGTTGAGAAGGCACCCTTATTTCCGGGCTATGGGGCTTCTTAGCTCACACACCTATAGGCCTGGGTGTCAAAACAGCCGATAAGCCATTGGAACCCAATCGCTAAATTTGGTCCAGGCCACCCACGCCAGGCCTACCTTCCATCCCCGTGCATCCGAAAGGCGACCCACCCAGGAAGAGCGTCGCCACAAAGAAGTTCACAAAGGCATGCACCACCCCACGCCCCAGCCATGCAATGAGCATCCGGTAGTTAAAATAGACCTGTCACTCAGGGAGCAATTTGCCACAAGGGTTTGGTGGAGTGTTGCAGCTGTGTTGTTTGGTGATTGTTGAGGTTTACACCTTGCTGTCGTTGAATAGCATTTGTTGTGCTCATGACCATGACCCACAGAAACACAAAAGTCAATGGCAAGAAACACAACCCCCTTGCGGGGATAGTTCCCGACTTTTCTCTCACACCGAAGGCGACGCCCTACAAAAGTGAAAGGATAACCCAGGTGGAAAGCCTTGGAGAGTCCAGCTTTCCCAATTGCTTGGCTGAGCTTCATGGAAACTTCGCTCTGGGCCCCTGGGCTGCAAACAGGAGAATCCTAGGGCACCCCACATCCAAGAAGTGTCGTTGAACCCCTAAAAGGGTCTTAGAAGGGTTCTGAGAACCATTCTGAGTGTGTAGGGGGTGCTTTAGGGGCCTTTGTCTGAGGCACTATCTTCTGCAGGATAGTAGGATGCAACAGTCAGTTAGGCGTCAACTTGGGAACTGTCGTTCAAGCATATCAACCCTGTGGCGCCTTGTGGTCGTTTAAGCCAATGCAGCAAATATGGACAATATAATGATTTGAGCACCCGCACCCAGTCCGAAAGGCTTATTTATCCTGTAGGTTCATGGGATCCTATCTCTCTTGGTTTCTCAACTTGCCCAAGAGGACGAATCCTGCCGAGTTGTTTCCCCAATTGATCAGAATTGGCGTGGGTGCAGTGCGAGTTGCATTCTGCGCTCAAACCACCCCATCCACAACAAGGGCTTTCTCCACTCCTGGAGGGATCCCTCTGTTTCCCCAAAAGGCAATCAACACGCGAACCACGCGCCCCCTTCCGCGAAACCTCCCGCGGTGTGGAGCGCACCTTTCACGAGCATGTTTCTGTATAGGTGCTTCCGCGGGCAAGTTGTTTGAAGGTAGCTTCCCAAAAGGAATTCGTGCGCACGATCTGCTAGTGCTTCTGGTAAGAGCAAATGTAGTTTTGGAAAGAGCAAGTCAACCATGTCCCTTCCGCGAGCTTCCGCGGGCAACAAATTGTGGTGCTATCTTTTCTGTTGATATCACCTATACACATGTTTGTTTGAGCGGGAGCAACAAAAACACTCACTTGTCTGCCTGTCTCTCGGCTGGAGCCTGCCTTGTTCGCCCCAAAGAGGTAGAGCTTTGGGAGCGCGAAAGCGGCAGGAGCATAGACGTCCACATCCAAAGCGCCCACCACAAAGATGGGGAGGTTTGTGAACACCATGTTGTACCTGTCAGGAAACGCATGAATCAGCAGCACATCGATGTTTGATCCTTAGTTTCCTTTTAGGGGAAACTAGCAACTGCATTTTTAGGCAGACAGCAACATGGGAAGCCAAACGGCTAGACCCGTCGGAGCCAGCGTGCGCGGTTTTCCAGATGCGAAACAAAGCACGCAAAGGGCAAGTTCTAGCTGCATAAGCCTCACCTCGGTCAAAGCGAAGGCAACGTGGCGCTATTTGAAGGCTTCACTCCTTTCGCCGATTGTGGGAGGGGGTAAGCGCCACAAACACGGTGAATTGGCTGCCAGTCCCCCTTCTTCTACCTTGGCCGCTGAACATGTCTCATTTGCAAGTCACAGTCCAAAAAGATTTGCCTCTGAGTGGGATATACCCATCACACGGCTTAACTACGCTGTCCTATTCAATAGCCTCCCCCAAACAAGAAGGTTCCGACACCATTCAGAGTGGTCAGGCCCGTGGTCCTCTGGACAACGATGCCATCCTGCCAGCGCATCCCACGCAACCCCCGAGCCACCCCAACTCGTAGCCCCAGCCCGCACACTCGCAAACCACTTGCCGAATTAGAGTAGCGCTCACGTAGAACAACAAAGTGCCCCTGTCCGACCACCATTGCCATCCAAGTCCTGAAGACACGATATTGCGTATCCAGAAAAGCGCCTCACGCACCACCAGTTCAGCAATGGGCTGACTCGGACAATGGCACGCGCAAACAAACGGAAGTCCAAGCGCAAACAGTGGCAAGTGACTCCGCGCAAGGCCCGACCGTGAGGCGCGATATGACAACTGCCAATACCGGAAGGCAACGAAGAGGAAGAAGAAGAAGAAGAAGAAGAAGAAGCAACACCTCAAACACGCGGGACAAAAGCGTGGCAAGGGCTCACAAGGAGCCCAAGCGGGCCTTCTCCCACACAAGATGACCAACCACTCAAAAGGAGCTTGCTCTGGCACGTCCCGCAAGGGCTTGATGTACAAGAAAGGGTCCAAAGTGAACCACAGCTGGCCGCGAGGTCTTGTTCACGCCCTGCCCAGAGGGTTGTACTCCCGCGCAACGACCTGACCGTGGTTCGGTGTTCCACCCGCGCCCTCTTTCCCCATGGACTGGCCAGACTTCTGGTCGACGCGCTTCTCCGGTGCTTTGCAATGCGAGCTCTTGTTGTCACTGCGGTACATGGCGTGATGGACGTCGGGCTCCTGAGCCAAACTGGTCTCGGCCAAGTGCGCGTGATGATCTGGTCGGAAAACATGTGCCCGAAAGCAAGCGAAGGGCCAAGAGGTGTCCCCAACTGAATGAAATTAACTCCGGCGGCGGCACCTCCTACAAGCCGAAGGTTCTGCCCCAGGGCCGCCAAAAAACCCTGCCCATCGGACCCCCTGTGGGCCGAGCGACTGGTTTTAACAAGCACCGAAACCGAGAGGGCACATCATGATCAGGTAGGAGTCATAGAAGGTGGTGCCGCTAAAGCCGTTGAACGGCGCGTAGCAGGCCATGCAAATCACCAGAAGGAAGTTCTTGTAGAAGGAATAACCTCGGACCCTTTTGATTCTCCGTGATTTGTTGACCCGAGAAACAGAGGCGCGAAAAAAAACACGTCAAACAAACGGAATTAGGGATGGAAAAGCAGGGACGACTCACAAGACACCTAGGAGCGTGGCCCTGAAAGAGGACCGCTTAATTACGCACTCCGCTTACCCTTTATGTAGCTTATGGTGGCCACAAACCCAAGCAGGGAGAGCCGCTTCCGCGAAAGCTCCCAAAGCCCCTAGGCCTGGGTGTAGCTGAGCACCGACAATCACAGACTTGTTGTGAGTGTCCCCGAGAACATCTCCAGCACGTTTCCCGAACCAAAAGGGTGCCCCGCCCCCTCCCAGGCTACACCAGGAAGATCAACACAGGAACCGGCTGCCCCTAGCGTACGCTCAAGCCATCCAATCCTGAAGCAAGGTGAGGCCACCTCCCAGTGAGACGAGACATGGGGAGGAAACCAATGAAATCAGCATGGCCACTGTCACATTCGTCGATTAGGCTGAGCAGTGCATGTATGTAGACATCTTCGAACCTCTAGACTTACCCTCTTGGACACCACCCCGAGAAGTAGCTTTGATAATGCAACCACACGTTGGAGCCCTGATGTTCAGCCCAGCCACCAATCACAATGCCGATGCGTCGGATGTTGCTCCGCCCGTGCAAGAAAAGCAATGACCTTGGCACAAAGCGGTGGCTATGTAATATGCGAGTGTATTTGTCTGTGTTTGTTTGCTTGCCTGCTTGCGTGTTTATTGGTGTGCTTGTTTGTTCGTTCGTTTGCGTGTTGTCTGATTGCTTGATTGATTGCTTGCATGTTTGTTGGTTTGTTCGTGTGCTTGTCTTGTCGGACGGACTAACTGACTGACTGACTGACTGACTGACTGACTGACTCACTCACTGACTGCCTGACTGACTGACTGATTGACTGACAACCTGATTGACTGATTGTTTGTTTGTTTGATTGCTTGCATGTGTGTTTGTTTGTTTGCTTGCTCGGTCGCCTGCTTGCTTGATAGCTTGCTCGGTCGCCAGCTTGTTTGATCGTTTGCTGGCGTGCCTGCTTGTTGTGTTTTGCTTGCTTGCTTGCTTGCTTGCTTGCTTGCTTGCTTGCTTGCTTGCTTGTTAGTGCTTGTCTGCTTTTGTGTGTGTGTGTGTCTGTGTTTGTGTATGTGTTTGTGTATGTGTGCGTTTGCGTGTGGCTGCACTGTTGGGCGCATTCTTCACCAAACCCAAGGGGAGCGAGTCTTTCTGGGAGTTTCCCAATTTTAAGACGCACGCGCTAAGACACGCCCATGTGAAACCCGAAGTGCAAAACCTGGAGCTAAGATGAGCTAAGAATGCGCCCATGGCTTTTCTCCCAAAAGTGCATGATGAGCCTGCACATTTTCCAAAACCAAACAATGGGGTGCAAACCGTACAGGCAAATGACTTAGTACTGTCAGCACACCCACCCGTACAGGACCTTCGTCATGGCAAGCTCGTCTTACTCCCAGGCAAGCTGGTTATACATTGCCCAGGTCCGCACTAGTAGCATCAAAGCCATGTTTGGGACCTGGTTCCTGTCTGCGACAAAGCAAGCCCATGCTGGCAGATGGGAGAGGCATGATGCGTGCTATGGCACACGGCAAGATGCGCTCGAATCAAAATAAGGACGGCCACAGATTGACACAATGAACAGCGCAACCCATTCAGATCACCTGAGCATTCATCTACATCCATGATTAGTATCAGACCCCGCCGCAAAGGAAAAAACAATCACATGGTTGGCGTCCTTTTGGTTCCCTCCGCACGTCTAACAGGAGACCTCAAAAGGGTGCCATGCCAAAATACCCAGCCCACTGTCGGTCCTCCCTATATATTATCCCTAGAACATCACCTCAAAGAGACTTACATAAGGTTGGTCCAAATAGTGATTGAAATTAAACTAAGCCACGAGCATAAGAGAACCATGTGCAATCAGCCCCACCAATAATTGCACAGTTTTAGCAAGTCAATTCGAGAACCCTGAACACGCCCTCATTTTGAGGGGCCATTTTTTGCAAACATACAAAACATGAAAACATATTATTTAAAAAAAAACTGCGACCAGCCCCACAAAGAGAATTTGTCCGCAGGGCGCAAAGGGACTGACGTCCTTCACCTCCCACGCGCCTCAAAAACCGGAACTGGCCGATGGCGAAGTCTGCGGCGTTCACCGCTTCCCGGCCCTCCGCGCCGGCGATGCCCACGCCCACGTGGGCCTTCTGGATCCTCATGCGGAGCTGGGCATCCCCAGACCGTCTAGGTCCTCCAGTAGAGAGGTGAGAATAAGGGTACCAACTTTTTATGTGGTCTATTTTAGTAGGGGGACCCTCCCCCAAAAAAAGGGTAAAAGGGCACTACTGGGGGACCAACTGGTCGTTTTGAGGCGAAGCCCATTCAAAACTCCCGGGCTCCCTTCACCTTACTTGGGTCCGGGAATTTTAGGCATTGGGTGCGTCGCCAGGGTCCCAAGCGTTTTGGCAAACCTTCTAAATTACACAATGAAGGCAACTGAGGGAATTTTAAAGAACCCGACCTTGCTACAGAAGGTGGATTCTATTGTCCAGGTGTTCAAACCTGAACACTACTGTACCTCTTGGCTGAACGACAACGTGTTGTTGCTTCATGTTTAGGCAACTTGCTTGCCTCCTAACTTCACCCAACCAAAAAAAAAACTTATCGATCGACAATATGAAACACACACGCACACACGTAAGAAAAAGTCATAGCAGCATTGTTATATGACCCTGCATGCTTTCTACAAACCAATGTATGAATCTGTGATTTTGTGCAGGTGTAACATGCGCACAATATGTACAACAACTACTTGAACACTTACATTGACATGCGCATTTTCATGGACGCCGGCATGCACAGAACACCGGCATGTGGAATGCTATACTTTTTTGTTGGGCAGGTGCCCATGGTTGGCCACTGCCGAGCTGAGAGAGACTCCAAGCAAGACGTGCCCGTGGCTAATGTGAAGGCACCCTTCTTTGAAAAAAGAAGCCACCAGTTGGAGGGTCCACAGCTTTGAGACAAACCCAGGCTTGTACATGACTTGAAGCTAACTGAAACTGGTGCCAACCACTTTTCCAACAAAACTGACCTAAAATGACACCGATTTGTTTGATAGGCTCTTGCTGCAGGGGGTAAGGAGGTGTCTCTCCATACCATTCCCTTTCACTGGGAGTTGTTTGGCTCAATGCGAAAACTACACCTCTTGCCTCATGGAAGGGCAAATCTTACAGGATTAGAATGGGTTCAATGAGAATGTGTCGGAACTAGACGCCCTTTGAGCCCACATGGTTCCCCAACCATCTGTGGTTCAACTAGCCTTGGCCAACCAAATCTGCGCATTTTTGAAAATTTTGAGCCAGACGTACCCCACTGCACACAAATATTGCTTTCGCTGCTGGTTGAAAGAGAACATGAAGGAGAACCACAACTACTAGACTACAAGTCACTTGCCCGGATGTTAACAAACGTTTGCATCCCTTTTTGCTTTTTTGTTTCTAACATCAGCACTTTGGGCTAGTGAGCACCCACTGAATTCAGGAAAAGCTCATACTCACATCGTTGCCGCCATCGCCCACTGCCAGCGTCAGCGGGTTCCCTGACAGCGCCCCGGTCCCCGGATGAGGAAAAGGGGTTGTCTCAAAATAGGGCGGGAACAAAAAACGGTATTCCTTTAAGCGTCCCGTTAGACGCCAACCAAAAAGGAGTCCACCATTTTGAGAGCCTCCGCCCCCCAACATTTGCTTCGTTCAAAAAATGGTGAAAGGTAGCTTAAGAATGCACTCAGTTTATAATCTCATGGCACAGGTTTACATAGAATCTGCTGTGCAAGGGGACTGTTTTACATGGGTACCGGCAGGCTTTCTCCGAAGCTTCGAATCCGACGTCACAAAGTCACTTATTGGCAACGCAAACATCATCCACGAGGATATTCTGGGGCTAATTACTTTGCACACCCTAAATGTTACAAGGAACCACCAGCTATGACAAACGCTGGGTTACTCCGGGGGGTGTTCAGCCTCCTTGATGGCTGGGAATGATCAAAAACAAGCGGCAAAGGGGGTGCGTCCTCCCCCCCCCCAAAAAAAAAAGGAGACAAAATGCAAAAACAATAGCAGCACAAACTGCCTCCAAAATGGCACGCCTCCCTACAAATCACCGGTGTTTTTTGTCCACCCCCCGCATGAAACCCAAGAGGAAAGAGCCATGCCAATTCGACCAGCTGAAGCTTGTGTTTCGGGTGCGCCTGGCACCTGTGTCCTGATCAACTCCACCACCGCAGCCTTCTGTGCAGGGCTTAGCCGGCAGGCGATGACCTGAAAAAACCCGCCGAAAAGGGGCGCATGGTCTGGGCTGTCCTCAGATCCCCCGGTAAAAGTTTAACTTTGGGTGGGTTAAATGGAAACTCCACTAAACATTAAAAGGCTAAAAAGCTAAGGGGATGGCTGGGAGCCACCAAGTTATAATTCATGAGGCCAACATTCAAACCCAACATCATCCATGTAAGACTTTGGCTTGCAGGGCCACCAGCTCGGAATTTGGGTATCGCTTTCGGGGAGGAACACGTCTTACAAACACAAGCAGCAGCCCCCTCAAGCAAAAGGGGCGGGTAATCAATAAAGGAACATCTACAAACAATAATGCTCAACATCTTCCATGTAAAATCTCAAAGAGGTCGATTTTGTTGAACATGTTAGCCTCCTCTACCTTGCATGGCCACAAGCTGGGAATTAGGGATCGTCCTCGGAGAGGAACACGTCTTACAAACTTACAGCGGTCATGATTAATTACGGTGCTTGGTTTGCTACGGGAGCGAGAAAAAAATGAAGGTAACCCGGAAACCTTTGCAGAAGCTTTCGGGATAAAGCCAGGCATTGCAGCCATGACCGACATTCCAACAGCATGAGTTTTGGAGTCTCGCCGAAGGGCTCCTGCCCAAGGCCATGCCATGCTATATGTGTTGGACCTCCGCAAATGCACGCCAACATGACACAGCCACATGACCCGAATGACCCTTCACCCCTCACACTCAACGTGCAATTGAGAGGGTGTCACGTTGCTACGTGAAGCAGCGGACGTGATGCCCCGTGCAACACAGGTCAAAGTGCCACTACTGGGTTGCAATGTTGGAATGCCCCAGTCAAATCGCCCAAAGGGCGATGTATCAGACCGGCACCTCTACCGCCTTAGAACGTCGATATCAAAACAAAAAAAACATTTTGTCGACCCTGCTTTGCCGAAAGAAAATGCCCATCGGGCGGTAGAGCAAAACACTGGGTATCTGCAAATGAGAATTGAGCACCCCGCAGAAACTCTGCCCGTCTAAGAGATTAAGAGGAAGTCACGCCCTGAAGTGTGCTTTTCTGTGCGTGTGTGTGTGTGTGTGCCTGTGTGTGCGTGTGTGTGGGTGTGGGTGTGGGTGTGGGTGTGTGTCTGTGTGTCTGTGTGTCTGTGTGTGTCTGTGTGTGTGTGTGTGTCTGTTTGTGTCTGTGTGTGTCTGTGTGTGTCTGTGTGTGTCTGTGTGTCTGTGTGTCTGTGTGCGCGTGCGGGTGCGCGTGGGCGTGTGCGTTTGCGTGTGCGTGCCCGTGCGTGCGCGTGCGAGTGCGCGTGCGCGTACGCGTGCGGGTGCGGGTGTGTGTGTGTGTGTGTGTTGTGGGTGTGTTTGTGTGTGTGTGTGTGCGTCTTTTTTGAGGATACCATGATTAGGGTTGTTTTAAAGCATTTAGTTCAAACCGCCTGTCTTCGGGGCTTGCCCATGTAGTGCCAAAGCACAGAGTAGGAGTTGCACACCACCGTGACGAAAAGTTGCTGCAGCTCCATGGCTGATTCCTGCGGAAAAAATCGCCCCCAGTTGCAGCCACTCGCCCGGAAGGTAGACAAAACTCTGAGCTTCGTTGATCCCTTCCAGAAGTTGTTTAGTGGGATATGTGGTAGTTGTCTGAAATCCGTGCTTCCAGGGAAAACAAACTGATGTTCGCGATCTCCATTGCAGAGCATTGGAGGGGCTAGTGTGAAAACAGCCACGAAGCTTTCGTTGCGACCACGTAAGGCTTGACATGCTTGCTGGCTGCCGCGTGAGCTAAAACATGCTTCGTGTAAGCAAAGTGCTAGCTCGCGCACGAGCAACCTTTCACAACACAGGGACTCATGCTATAGCGTTGCTCATTGGGCGTCGGCGTTTTTGGTTCTTCCCCGAGCTCCGTTTTCTAGCATGATTCTGAGGAGCCAGCTGGTGAAGAATTGCCCTCAGGCGGATCAATTTGGCGCAGTTGCTCTTTGCCGGGTCTTCGCTCTGTAGCCCTCTTGCTCAGCGCTTTGGATTTGGACGACAGCTCGGGCTGCTTCTGCCTGCTTGCGCGCCCTGGACCTCCTAGTTTTGCTGAATCTGCTGCGCGTCAACCCTTGTGCTTTGGAAATCCATCGGCTAAGCCTCTACCATTCAAGAACTTTGGCAAGCAGTCACGAAGCGGAGATTACGCTGGCGCTAACACAGCATGTTCCCCAAAAAGTGCTTGCGTCGGCTTACGCCTCGCAGGTGTTTTCTTACGCGGGGCTTTCCCATGACACAACTCTTGCTTGCCATGCAGTGTTGTTTTCGTAGAGCTGCTTAAATGGCCTTCTCCTTCATGTCTCCAAGGACCGTTCGGACAACTCCCATGTCACAAATCCCTCTAGACGCCAAGTCTAAAAGTCCAATGCTAACAATGCCTCTTTTTGGGGCTGACCATCAAAAGCCCGCCAAATCCAGTTCTAAACGGTGGGTTTGCTTTCAGCTATCTATTCAAACCCTTTCAACGATGAAAAACACAGTGAACCATGCGGGGGCTATTTTCAGGTTGGTGACAGTCCCAAACAAAAGGGCCTGACAAACGCATGCCTTTGTCTGTGCCAATAGAAAGCGTGGTTCCACGACTCCCAACAACAAAGGCCTTCATGCATGAGGTCGCAAAACCCCAAAGAGACGTCGATACAACGTATTTCAACATGTATGTTGTGTGCTTTCGACCTTGGTCTTTCGTATGAAAATCTGCTAGAAGCTACAAAGATAGGGCACTCACTGGAAGAAACGTAGGGGCTTAGGGCAAACAGTTAAACACCAAACCACCAAACCTGAGCCTATGCCAAAGCAGTTGTAGGGTTCCGTTTAATCGTCTCTACACGGTAGCGACCTGGTACACCTCTCAACTCAAGGGAGGGAACCAACAAAATAATGTCCCAAGATGCTCTTGTGTTGGGTTCCGCGGTTAGAACAACAAAACACAAAAACACGAAAATCAACCTTCCCAATTCACCGTGCGCTCCTCAAGAATAGCATAGAGCGCAGCACCGTTCAGCACCAAACCTGCCAGTCCGGCGGCGCTTAAGTCCCTCGTCAGATGGAGGCTGGTTGTGTTAGGAAAGCCGAGAGTGAGGGAAGTCGGGGGCAACAGAAAGGGCTGAGCAACCATGTGAGAATTGCTTGAAATAGAATGAAATAATGCATACTATAATCTAACCCCCCCTACTAATAAATACGGGTCCCCCCCCTCCTCCAATTTATTATAAAAAAAAACTCCTCCCAAATATATATATATATATAGGTTTTTGGGGTTGGGTTTTTTTGCTTTTCCAACAATGTGAGGGTTCACATAGGATTTGGAGAAAATGGATTGAATTGCAAGGTCCGCGCGTAAGCGGTTGAATAAGGAAATTGTATGTATCATTCTATTTGTTTTTCAGTTTACTGGTTGTTTGTTTGCAGCCAGGCAGGTTAGGTAATTAATTAGCCAGCATGTACGGGAGAGAGACAGTGGCAGCTAGACAGCTTTTGGGGACATGTTTTCTTTTGAGGGACACCACCCCAAAAAAGGACCCAATTAAACAACCTTGTGCGGGAACCCACCTTTTTAAAAGTCAGCTTGTTAAAAGTGCCCGCTAATAAGGATTCCAAGACTTTTGTAAGGGTTTAGTATTGGCTCAATTAAAAATCGATTGTGCGGAGTGGAAATCTGGTCCCGGGCCCGGGATTTTTTTATTAATTGGGGTCATTCATTAATTGGGGGGTGAGATTATATGTAACTGTTCGGACTTGGCTTTGAACGCAATTGAAATTGTCTCGCTTAAGCAGTGCTGGACTGTGTTTGACAACTGTAGTGCAAGAAACGGTAGCCACAAAACAGCACTTGGTTGCAAGAATTCCCAAGAGATGGCTGGACAAGTGCCCAAACCATGAGTGTCGAAAAAATGGGGGGGGGGTAGTGTAAATTAGCGTCGAGAGAACAACTTTCGGAACTGTTGTAGTTGCACACGTTTGAACAAGGATGTTTCTCCCACAAGTTACTTGGTGAGCGTGGAGCAACCGCACAGCAACAATGCATAACCACAGGGTGTCAACAGCTTGGCAAGTTGAAGATGCATGGGCGTTTCAGCACCTAGCTTTAATACGCGCAGGAACATTGGGGAAGCCCAAAGAGCCAATACATTGACTTTTCGCCGGGCAATTGAGTCTCCAAAAAGGATAGCTTTGTGTTACTGGAATTCGGAGTCCACAACAAATTGTTGGTTCCTTGAAGATAGATTACACGTTCCCCCTCAACACCGTTGTTTGATGATTTGGATTGGTGGTTTAGAGGCTCCTTTGGTTTGATTACTAAAAGAGGGCTCAAACCCACCAGGGTGTGATCTGCAACCCAACTACTAGAAATTGGACCCCAACAAGGGCATCGATCATCAGCCCGTGTTTTCCCTCACCAAAAAGCCGAACTCAGAGTCAGTTGCACTCCGTTTGGATCTGACACTCGCTTGTTTCGGACTCATGATGGAGAGGCGGCCAAAGCTGGAAACGGAAACGCCATACACCAAATTCCCATGCCTTGTCCGACCTTGACGCAGCAAAGACCAAAACCCGGCCAAGATCAAAAGTTCTTTTCTGTCCGAACTTTCATTGCAAGTGAGGTCTCTCCAATCAAAACTACCATGGGAAAACACCGCGTAACAAAAGGAATGGTAAACGCAGCCCCAAACCACAGTTTGGGTGGGGAAGACTGTGACTTCTGGCCGTCTCAAGCCTAGGCGCCCTTGCGCAAACATAGGTGGGACTGCTTTGTGGGTTGGAACCAAACTGGAATGGCTGGAAATGCAGAGTGGCGCTTGGATGCTAACGAAACCTCAAAAAAAAAGACCATGTGGCACCCTGCCAAGTGCGACCAATACTGCCGGGCAGCTGTACTTAAAAGCTTCTGCGCTGTGGTTCTTCAGCCCTTCGATGACGCAAGCCTCCATTCTCCTGTGAGGGAAAAAAGTCTAAACAGCAAATGTAGAGCTCCAACCATATGTTGAGCCTTCATATCGACTATAATTTCTACCTCCTGGGTGTGCCAGTGTGCCTGTACCGTTCAAAATTGCTTAATCATTAAAACAGTCACCAAGCAGTCAGCGGCCCTAGAAGGTAGTGACTTGAATTGGTCTGCAAATAGCACGAAAACGAGTCAACACATCAACAATGACAGGCCGCTTTTTGTCAGAGGAATTCCATGGAATTCCCTTTTGGGCAGGGCTGTGGGAAATGACCACTTCTATGATACAACAAAAAGGGCTTCCCTAAGACTAACCTCCTATTTAAAGGGGGAGATTCCCTTGTATCACCGAAGCGGGGATAAACCCCTTGATCCCACAACCCTGCTTTTGGGGGGATCATTATGTTGGGTTCAATGTTGCCGAGTATACTCTGCTGAGGCGGCAGCTCCAGAGGGCTGATAGATGCGTCGCATGTCCGAAAAGCCCATGAATCCAACGCTGCAAGCTGTCCATCACCCAACCCCCAAAGCATCAGCAGCGCCTAACGGCAAACAACCCGGAAGCCAAGTGTGTCAGCAGGCGCGCCGCTTTCTGCACGCGCCCCAGAATTTTCGCAGGGCGTCCGCCAAAGCGACCTGAATCCTGCACAGCTTGGCCTCCGGGAGCGTGGCCCAAAAGTCATTCTTGAGGGAAAGGCCCCAGCCCAAATATTTGTCGGAGCCCAGCCGCTGCTTCTTCCAAGAGACCCCAGGACCTGAAACGAAGCCACAGGCAGTGTCGCAAGTGCCAGCACCGTCCACTTCGCGTGGGAAAAGCAAAGGAAGTCAGACGTTTTTGCAGAGAGCCCGACACTTTGCCCTGTGCCACCCAACAGCTTTCTCTAACTTACTTGCCTCTTGCTAGGAGTTGACTTTGAATTGGACTGAGTGCCAGAGCTGGATGCGGTATTTTGGGGCGGCTTGGTCGGTCTAGTTTTGGGCACGCCTTTCTGTGCTCTTGACTCGTGTGGCTCACCATCATCTGCCAAGAAACATCTGCTCCCCAGCCAGTTCGCGGAAGGAACCGGAAAGGGAGTCGATCGAAATGAGATTCGAATCTCTGAAATGGATGGAGAGGGGAGCTCCCCGAAAGGAGAACATGCTATAAGGACAAATTGTGTGTTCCATGTTCAGTAGAAAGCCTGCCAGGGTCGCATCGCTCCTGAGTTTGTTCAGAAGGTCGTCCCGCGTCTTCTCAAGCGACTGATCCGCGCCGTCCTGTCCAACGGATTGCACAAAAGGCAGTGGCGGGAAATGCCCCCCTTCTGTGAGCCCAAATGCTTGATCCCCCTCCAAACATGACTACTTTGTCACTTCAGGGGCAAAGGAAAGATACCCTGAAGTCATAGAAGTATACAGACAAATTGCGCCATTTGTTCACCGAAAACAGTTGGCTAACTTGTAAATGCCCTGCTGCTGGCGCTTGCTTGTCTTCAACCACGAGGTGTCCTTGAACACTTGCCAAGGGCGCCTCTCTCAAACGCGCTCCTTGCATGCCCGGCGTGGTTTGTAGTTCTTTGATGATGGCACCCTTGTTGGGTTTGTGCAAGGAACCCAAGACGAACCCCCGGGTTTGGTGCTCCCTGACCTTGAGAACCAACTTCACGGGAGAGCGACCGAAAACATCTCAGCGCAGTCCTCGGACGTAAGGTAGTACATGCGGCAGTCTTTGTTCACTAGGCGGCAGATGCTGCCAATGTTCACGGCAGTTTCGACGCAGTCACCTCCCGGCAAATAAAGCCCTAGAGGGCCAAGCTTGTGAGATTCGGAGTCATCTCTCTTGGGAAAGCCGAGAGGTCCCACATGGGCGATTCGCTTCGGGCAAGCCGAAAAAGTCCCTGCTTCTGACCCAGCCCTGTGTAAGGCTTGGCCCCGAGAGTTTGATGCAAAGAATGTGAAACATGTCTGAGAAAACCAAGCGATGCCCATCTGATAGTGTCCGCAAAATATGCTGAGAACCATGGATGGTTTAGCTCCCAGTGTCTGCCATCCTGCCACGTACCCGAAAGACTTCAGAGGAAATACGGGCTGATGAAGGAAGAAGTTAACCAGCCAGGAAGGGACTGGCAAAGGCTGGCTATCCTTTCCACATTTCTTCATCCTCCGCTCGGTCAAGCACTTCCTGAGTGGTTAATAGGATGAGAAATGGAAAGGGTCTCTGTCTCTCATTCCCGCTCTCACAAATAGAGCTGAGAGACAAATATAAAGGTAAAGAGAGCGAAAATGCGTGTCAGGGAATGAGGTGACCAACAGCCTGCTCCTCCGGTTGCTTTCATGCCTCTATTCGCAGAGAGAAACATATAGGAACCTGTTCTAGTTGTTGACAAAACCCCAGTAAAGGGTTCGTTTCCAGCCCCACCAATCTCAAGCAAATACATGTTGTAGCCATAACTGTCATGGCAAGTATGAAGGTCTTACCAGCTTTTTCCAGGCACGTGGAAGCCCCGTACACAACAAACATGCCAATGCAGTGCCAATGCAGGGGCAGGTTGGGCGCCGCTGAAGGCACTTCAGTGAAGAGGGGGAGCAGTGCCAGTTGTTGAGTTTTGGGTACTGCTCACGGCTCCTTACATATCCCCGTGAAGCACAGAAAGGTGACGTTTAGAGCACGAAAAGGAGCCACCTTGACACAGCTGGAGCACCACTGGGACACCGGAAAGCCACCGACCGGCCCACCACCAGCACCACCTGCAGAGCACAACCGTTTGGATACCAACGCGACATCACAGCAACACCACCGGGAAACCAGCAGAACACCACTAGGACACCGCCGGGAGACCACTTAAACACCACCAGAACCGTGATCACCGGATACCGCCGAACAACACGACACTGCCAACACCGCCAGCAAACAACCAATCAGATACCAACGCAAGGAAAACCACCAGGCTACGGGCCACCAAGCTCCGGCTTTGCCAGGGCTTGCCGCTTGAACTGCTGCAAGGGAGCCACACTGGATCTGGGCCAAATCCCATTTTTTTACGTAAAGCATGCAGGTCGAGGCGCCGGTCAGCATCCAAACTCGGATGCCCCCATCCAGCAGCATCTTCACCTAAAGAAAAAGGGATCGGAACAGGACCCTGCGTGCTTCGACCCGATCGAAGGTGCTCCCATTTAGACCCATGCACAGGAAAACCTAAAAAGATCGCAGCAAATCTGAGGACTCTCTGGGTAAAACATGAAAAACAAACAACACGGCAACCCAACCAATTTTAGGAGCCGGTGGAACCAGACTGACCAAATCGGCCCCGTTTCACAAAACAACAAAAAACAAAAACAAACAGCCAACTCCGCTCCATCCATCTGCGGCTGTTTGCCTAAAGCCTTGGAGGTGGGGAACCTGAGCCTTGGCGGTGGGGAACCTGTGAACCTTCGCACTGATGATAAATGGGCGAATATTTTGCTGGCTTGTTTTTTTCCGACAAATTGCCGGCATGTCCCTCAGCAGTGGAAGGGATTTTGGTCACTTGGCAAACAACGTTCCTGGCGGTCCTGGTGTTGAATGAGGGGTCTGGATTCTGGATTGATTAAAACATTTACTTTAGACACAAACTACCCATCCCCCCTTTGATGTGAATGGTATCACAACTTCTTGCAATTTCAGAGTGTCCTGTGAACTGACGATGGAAGCGGCCCTGGTTCATGGGAAGACGTTACCCTCCAATGCTTTTTGTGTCGCAGTGATGCACCTATGAAGCAAAGTGACTTTGGCTGCCAAACAGCAGTGGCCCGCAAACTCCTCTTCAGCCTTTTTCGATCGGATGTTACACCAGTGTATGGCCCATTTTTTCTAAACTGTCCAAAACAAACCCCCAAAACTCGATAATTATGATTAAGTACCCACCTGCGTTGCATGGACTGCATGCAAGGGGCCGTCTCCGGCACGCCGATTTGGATCTTATCTTCCACCGCAGTGATGCCTAGGAGGTCCAGGTCCCTTTCCATCTCGTCCATCACCTGTCCGGGAATTCGTCGTAGCTGCCAGGTTGCAAGAGGAAGCATGGACTTTTGGTGGCCCAAACATTTTTTTCCCCCGACAAGGCCCAAAAAGGACTAGTGACTACTGACTACCCTTTTAACACTCAGCTTGCCAAATGTGAGAACGCTGTTCCAGTGTATTGCATTGCCCATTCTCGCCCATTCTGAAACTGCACCATATAAGGGGAAACCCTGTTATGTGGCCATGGGTCAATGCCTGATCCCCAAGGAATGTAGCGCAAATCTTGCTTTCGGGCACGGACAGGCGTCAGCTGAAGCAGCGCGCTTCTCTGGCTGGCAGGTGCACTTTTCTCTCCCCGAGTAAAAGTCTACATTGCTCCGCTGGCGATACTGGGGGTCTTTTGCCCTCGCCTGCTTGCAAGCTGCTTGCAAGCTCCAATCTCCCAAAACTAATTCAAGGCAGAGGGAGTGTATCCGACTGGTTCGGCCAATCCAACTGTATAGTCTCCCAGGATACTCTGAGACAACGACACCAACTTCACATCCTCCCTCCTAGCCGCGCAAAAACATGTAAGCGGATTGCCCCACCTAGCGCGCCAGCAGCTACTAGACGGGATGCCCATGCAGAAATCGGACTTTCACAATTTCGCAAAGGGCTCGAAGATGTAAGGGCATGGCTCGAAATCACGAAGCGGAACATGTTGGCCACGTAGGGTGTCTTGAGATTGCCACTTCCCCTGTTGGATGGAGCTCAAAAGAAAAATCAAGATATACCACTTGCGGTTTGGGTGCTTGCGTACCTATGTCAGCAAACATCGATGCTTCATCAGGTGCCCCAACTCCTAATCAAACAAGAAGTTGATTAGAGCCATGTCCACACCAAAGCTGCACCGGCAATTAGCAATGTCATTCATGTGATGACGGCCTAGGGAAAATACACTGGATCTGAAAACTCTGCCTCCTCATGACCAGGCAGGGCTTCAACAAAGGAAAAGTCGTGAGCTTCAGCTGACTTCTGGGAGTTGCAGGAACCACAAGACCTCTGCACGCAAGAGCCGCATGCTGCACCCTTGGGATTTGCCACGCACTTGTTCAAGCAGTTGTTCATGGTGCAGTGGATCAAATTGCCATGGCATCGAGCACATCTGCCGGACTCACCCTTGGCCAACAGGCAGTTGGCGGCACACGTTGGGCGGTCGCTGCTTGCTAGGCAACGTCCTGCGCACGACTTCATCAATGACTCACTTTCATAGCAGCCCCCGCTGCGTGCATCAACGGTCTCCTGCTGCACTGCCTTTGTGGTGCTGTTGTTCTTTGCCACATTGACCAATGCCGCAATGAAGGAAAAATCCATCGCTTCAGCTGACTTCTGGGAGTTGCAGGAACCACAAGACCTCTGCACGCAAGAGCCGCATGCAGCACCCTTGGGATTTGCCACGCACTTGTTCAAGCAGTTGTTCATGGTGCAGTGGATCAAATTGCCATGGCATCGAGCACATCTGCCGGACTCACCCTTGGCCAACAGGCAGTTGGCGGCACACGTTGGGCGGTCGCTGTTTGCTAGGCAACGTCCTGCGCACGACTTCATCAATGACTCACTTTCATAGCAGCCCCCGCTGCGTGCATCAAGGCTCTTCTGCTGCACATGCGCTGCATTGGCGTTGGATGCATCCGCCACTGCTTGCACAAAAGACACTCCCATTGCTTGCCCCTGGGAATTGCAAGATCCGCAAGAGCTTTCTACGCAAGTGCTGCATGCGGCACCTTTGGGATCGGAAATGCACTTTCCCAGGCAATGTGTGACAGTGCACTGGATCTGTTGCCCGTGGCACTGCGTGCAGCTCATGGTCTGAGACGAACCCAGCAGGCACAAGGTGGAACAGGCTGCCATGGCAATCTGGTTGCTGCTAGTGGCACACTGCTCTTTGCACGTCTGCATCACGGTCTCAAAGCAATCACCGTTGCGCCCATCCAAGCTTTTCTCCTGCAATGCGTGTGCGCTTTTGGTGCTAGATGCATCTGCCAAGGCTTGCACAAAGGACAGTCCCGCTTGACCCGACCCAGTGTTGCAGGATGGGCAAGAGCCCTTCATGCAAGAGCTGCATGTCTCTCCCTTCGGGTGCAACAAACACTTGCCCAGGCAGTTCTCCACAACGCATTGGATTTGTTGCCCGTGGCACTGTGCACACGTGTTGGTCTGAGCCTTGCCGAGCAAGCACAAAGTAGAACAGGCTGCCATGGCAATCTGATTGTTGCTGGTGGCACACTGCTCCTTGCATGTTTGCATCACTGCCTCAAAGCAATCCCCGCCCAGCACGTCAGCACTTTCCACCGGCACCGGTGAGGCATTGATCTTGGTCACCTCAACAAAGGAAAAGTCCTGAGCTTCAGCTGACTTCTGGGAGTTGCAGGAACCACAAGACCTCTGCACGCAAGAGCCGCATGCAGCACCCTTGGGATTTGCCACGCACTTGTTCAAGCAGTTGTTCATGGTGCAGTGGATCAAATTGCCATGGCATCGAGCACATCTGCCGGACTCACCCTTGGCCAACAGGCAGTTGGCGGCACACGTTGGACGGTCGCTGCTTGCTAGGCAACGTCCTGCGCACGACTTCATCAATGACTCACTTTCATAACAGACCCCGCTGCGTGCATCAAGGCTCTTCTGCTGCACATGCGCTGCATTGGCGTTGGATGCATCCGCCACTGCTTGCACAAAAGACACTCCCATTGCTTGCCCCTGGGAATTGCAAGATCCGCAAGAGCTTTCTACGCAAGTGCTGCATGCGGCACCTTTGGGATCGGAAATGCACTTTCCCAGGCAATGTGTGACAGTGCACTGGATCTGTTGCCCGTGGCACTGCGTGCAGCTCATGGTCTGAGACGAACCGAGCAGGCACAAGGTGGAACAGGCTGCCATGGCAATCTGGTTGCTGCTAGTGGCACACTGCTCTTTGCACGTCTGCATCACGGTCTCAAAGCAATCACCGTTGCGCACATCCAAGCTTTTCTCCTGCAATGCTTGTGCAGTGTTGGTGCCAGATGCATCTGCCAAAGCTTGCACAAAGGACAGTCCCGCTTGACCCGACCCAGTGTTGCAGGATGGGCAAGAGCCCTTCATGCAAGAGCTGCATGTCTCTCCCTTCGGGTGCAACAAACACTTGCCCAGGCAGTTCTCCACAACGCATTGGATTTGTTGCCCGTGGCACTGTGCACACGTGTTGGTCTGAGCCTTGCCGAGCAAGCACAAAGTAGAACAGGCTGCCATGGCAATCTGATTGTTGCTGGTGGCACACTGCTCCTTGCATGTTTGCATCACTGCCTCAAAGCAATCCTCGCCCAGCACGTCAGCACTTTCCACCGGCACCGGTGAGGCATTGATCTTGGTCACCTCAACAAAGGAAAAGTCCTGAGCTTCAGCTGACTTCTGGGAGTTGCAGGAACCACAAGACCTCTGCACGCAAGAGCCGCATGCAGCACCCTTGGGATTTGCCACGCACTTGTTCAAGCAGTTGTTCATGGTGCAGTGGATCAAATTGCCATGACATCGAGCACATCTGCCGGACTCACCCTTGGCCAACAGGCAGTTGGCGGCACACGTTGGGCGGTCGCTGCTTGCTAGGCAACGTCCTGCGCACGACTTCATCAATGACTCACTTTCATAGCAGCCCCCGCTGCGTGCATCAACGCTCTCCTGCTGCACTGCCTTTGTGGTGCTGTTGTTCTTTGCCACATTGACCAATGCCTCAATGAAGGAAAAATCCATCGCTTCCGCCGACTTCTGGGAGTGGCAGGAGCCACAAGAGCTCCGCACGCACGATCTGCATGCCACACTCTTGGGATGGGCCCCACATTTCCCGAGGCAGTACTTCAGGGAGCATTGGATCATGTGGCCGTGGCACCGGGCACACGTGCCGGACTCGCCCTTTCCCATAAGGCAATCTGCAGCGCAGGAAGCTTGATCACCTCACATGTGCAAGGGTGTGAAAACGACCTGTTGTCTGAGTGTCAAAAGGCCAAACACCACCCTTGCTTTGGTTTGGATACATGCTAAGGTAAGCGGAAAACCGGGCAACCAGCAAAACAACTACTTAAGGTGGAGGACCAGTGAACCGTTTGGAGAAACTGAACAAATAAAATCCGCCAGTTGCAGAAGTGTTTATTCATCAACCCGACCCAGGGTTTGAAACATTTTAAGAAACTGATACAAACATCTGGGGACCAACGGATGGAACACGTCTGCCGCTTGCAAGCAAGCCACTGCTGGACACGCAGCCGGTGGCACACGTTCTCATGAACACCTGGTTGGCGGAGCAACTTCCGCGGAGCTCCGCGAGGGAGGCGACAGCCCCCAGGGCACCTGAAAGTTGAAATCAGACACGTACCCTGATATGCGGGATTTGCTTTCTTGCTTTAGGGGGTTTGGAAAAAAATAGCCGTCTTCGGTTGGTGGTTTTCTGCACTCGTTGCTATCTTTAACCGACAAGGCTTGAGGAATTCGTGGTCAAGAGCCCTCATGCGCGAGCCTGTTTTACCCCCAGGGAGCTTGCTGGAAACACTGCACATATCTGCACAAAATTCCAACCCACAATACCCTGCTGGCAAAACCAGCATGCCATTGGTTTCGGATCGAGGGAGCCCCACCTGGTTGTTTGTTGTTGCAGAAACATCAGCTGGTTTCTCTTTTGCCGATATGTTCCCATGCGTGGAGAAACACACAATTCCAACGAAACCGCTAGCCCCAAGCAAGCGTATACTCATATATCCCCTTGCGCAGTCCGGCATGGAAACTCCCAGGGCACGTAGTAATTGCAGGTGAAAAGTCCCAAGGGCAGCCAAGACACATATGACCAGCTTCAGCGGCGTCATGTTGGTCGCTTTGTTGTGACAGGGCCTATGCTCTTGGGCCAAAACTGGGCTAGGCTCGGCCTGGCGAAGGTTGCGAAACTCATGATGCACCGATTACATTGTTGTCTCTAAAGGACCTTGGGCCCCGAAAAGGTTGGTTTTGCTTGCGCCCCTGCAAAAATCACACAAAAGGGTTCCCATGGAATAGCCCTTCTTGGGCTGTCTTTTGAGGGTGCCCAAGAACTAAAGAAAACCACAAAGTTTGGGAGACAAACTCGAATCACTAACCAAATCTAAGGAGTTCACAACATTGGCATTCATGAGCTGGAGCTCGTAGCTCGTTTTACTCCAAAGTGAACTCCCCATGGCTAGTGCAAACCAGAGATAAATCCCACCTGGGCCCCAAGTTGACTCATGGGCATGCCAGCTTCCACCCGCACTGAACTTGCAGCACAAACTCCAGCGTTCGAAAGGCAGCCATAGCGCCTGTGGAACCCCATGTTAGGAGCAATTCAATCTGAGTGGGGCCAACCACCCAGCTTAAACCCATGACGTCTTCGTTTCCTTAGGGGAAAACTGACAGCCTGCAAGTGCCAATTTGGCGGCATGAGATCATGGCTTGCGGGACGTGTAACCACAAGGGGTTGTACCTGTCAGCATTCTTCGCCACCCAAAACGCTCCAAAGAGAATCGTGGCCACATTTCGGAGTTCGGCCTTCGCCATGAGCTCGTCGCCTGAGCAAAGTGGACCAAATTCTAAGATGAGACGCGCCTCTCAAAACTAACAAACATTTTAGCCAGGCGCTTGATTGATCCCAGGCTTAGGTTCATTCGGAAAAGGAACTGAATGCCAGTATTGTGCAGCACCCATCAAGGAGCCGCGAATTCTACTGCTCGCAAAGCAAAATCCCAGTGTTCTGATCACATACAAGTTGTTCCAGAATAACCCATGTGATAGTGTGGGCCATCCAGTGGGAGATGAACTTGCGAAGCCGGGCTGTGTTTGTGCGTGTGCGTGTGTGTGTGTGTGTGGGGATGGTGCAACGGAACTGCACCAGTTTTGAGTTGAGCGTGAAAATTGCTTTTCCGCATGTCCCTCCCAACAAGTTATCTGATTTGCTGGGCCCCTGAGACCCTTTTCAGCGATACATGCGCGACGTCGGCAATCCCAAGGAACCTTTGCTAATCCCCACTACACACAAATATATATATATATACATATATATATATATATACAATATATATATATACATATATATATATATACATAAATATATATATATATATATATATATGTACCTTTCTATATATTATTTGCCTTGGGGCTTAGGGCCGAACAAATGGAGGTGCCCCTTTTCAGGGCCGAAAAGTCGCTCAAAGTGGCAACTTCCGAGGGATGAAGATTGGTCTAGTATCGGTTTAGTATTGGTTTGGTGTTTGTTTGGTATTGGTTCCAAAATGTCCCCTTCAGACGGGAATTGGGGTCGGCAGGAAATTGGCTCGTTTAGAATTCATTTGGTATTGGCTAATTCTAGCTGTTTGTATAGGGAGATGTGGGATCTGGAAAACGCATTTTTCACTGGCAAGGTATAGATGAATGGGGGAAACAGATTGCCATCTTTCCAACAAAGGCGGAAAAGTGTCTTGCAAAATCCTCATGTCAGCTTCCATGGTTGTTGAAGGAAGGGAACTGGTGAGCCTAAAGATGCAACTTCAAAACATGTGCCACTTGCTTGTTCAATGGCCATACAACACAAGCTATAAAACCGCACAAGACACCATGGTTCCTCAACTGGACAAGGACACCCAAAAACAACACTGAGAAGTGAAATGATGGATTTGTCAAACCAAGGGTGTGGGGGGATCTCCTGGCGCTTTGACACTTGATTGATTCTAGATACAAAGATGAAGCCATATGGCCATGAGTCAAAAGCCCGTACCCCCAGTGAACATCCCAATCCCTACTAAGATAGACTAAAATGGGTGGTGCACCTACCCCAAAATGGTGCCATTGGTTTTGACCCACAGCCATATGTGAACTTCCCACACCTAGTGGGAGCGATGTATTGGCAGCCGTGGCACGGTTGAAGAAGGTCCCCCGGGCTTCGCCGTACCTTTTGATGTAACATTCCGCCTCTGCATCTGGCAGCCTCAATTGTGTGGCCAGTGCGGCCCAGGCTCCCCTCACGAAACCGGTGAATATCGAACCCAAAGACTTTGGAGATTTGTTTCCTGGGCTTCCATTGGCAGTATGCAGTGTAAGTCCAAACGGTTGGGACTGCAAGCGCAGCCGACTGGCACGTTAAAAGGGACCGTGTCATAAGGCCCTTTCTGATAGAAATTCCAGGCCTTATGTGCATCACTTTGAGTCATGAAAAGGGGCCCCAAGAAGGGGGAACATAGATAATTGCAGCAAACAGCCAGCTCTAAAACTCGGCGGAACACCTGAAAAGGTCACACTGCCCCAGCATGAAATCAACGCAAAGAAGGCTTTGTAGTGGCTGCGTCAAGCCTTGGCTTCCGTTTGGTCATTGCTGGTAGCTCAACCAACAAAAAACTTTTGACCCTTTGCGTGATACCAAAGTGGGCAACTTGCATAACCATCTTATCTTTTGTTCAGGGAAGGCTTCACAAGGGGCCCTAGAACCTTGCTTCCCACTGTGTCTTTGGGCTGAGAAGGCTCACACATCCACCTCTTTTAGAAGACTACTTTCCTCCTAAAACGGCAAGCTGCGCACTTTCGCAATGCTGCCACTGCACCTATCAAGAGAGCACAATCTCCATCCCATGTTGGCCTTCGGGCAATTTCAAACGAAAGAGAAAGCGTTTATCGCTCCCTTTACAACTCGGAGAACAGCACACAAAGATGAAGCACGACGATTTACCCACCCTGCAACAGAAGAAATTGACCCCCAAGACAGGAACCTTCACTCGCTTCTCACCTACCAACACCCACCAAAACCATTGTTGTCCACCATCAATCTGAAACAGACCTCGGGGGGTTCTTTCAAAGGCGGGTGGACTTCCCACACGGGTCGCAATTTAAGAAAGCGGCAATGTGTCCACCGACCCAAAGAGCCTTCGTGTGAGGTGCTAAGCCGTGCGACAGCAAATAGGGAACCCACAAGGAAACTGCCCTATCCTTTGGCACGCTCAGGCACACCCCAATACATCGAGCTTGCACAATGGACTGATGCTGGCCACTGAAGCATGTCGCAATTGCCTCTAGTAAACGCTGAGAACATCCACCGAAAAGAACCAGGGATGTTAAAACCTTCAGTTGAACCCCGAAAACCTTGACCCACCCGCAATTTCAGGTCTCACCTCCTTCTGGCTTGGGCCTAGGGGTCCAACTGAACCCCTTCCGTTCCGATCCCGTCCGGCCCAGCGGCACGCGGTACCCGCACACCAGCGTGCGCAGGCCGTGCGTGGAGAAGTGCCGCAGCTGCTCCTGCGGATTCCGGGGGGGGGGAGGAATCCCTCTGTTGAAATCGCCTTGAAATCGCGTGAAACCCAGGGAAAAGGGGAGCCTCAACAAAACACGCACCCAAGGGCTCTGGCAAAAGTATCCACTCCCCCTCTGGATGTTTGTTTGGAGACGTAGAGAATGATGGGCTGGTCAAGGAATTATGATGTCCTGAGCTACGAGCTATACATTGGGCTTGGGGCACTGGAACTCCAAACTAGCGGTGATCATAAGCTGTTAATTTAGTATGATATATACCCCCTCATGCCATTCTGTTGCACAACGTGAGGCCCAAGGTTGGTGTCCTCCAGGAAGAGATTCCCAAAACTGAGAAATATGTCCTTCTGCGGAGCTTATCCCCCAAACAGGAGACAAGTCAGTGTTTGGGTCCTTCCTCTACTTTGCAACCAAAGACTGGCTATGACAAAGGGAAACAAACATGACGACCCCTGAGCTAGGCTACGCACAACTATAGTGGGCTGTGCAAACATCACCGCTGGCATTATCACATTCACAAGAAAACACATTCAGTCAGAGTTGCTGTCCTCTCATGGGTTGTGCCTGTAAGTGGGTAGAGTTCCACGATAAACACCGAGTTGTGCAATCCGTTCTTGGTTGGTATACGAGCGACGTACTGGAGGTGTTCACGTCGTTCAGGCACAGCGCTGCTTTCTGCATGCCCTACCCTTTCTGCATCTGAAGCGCCTCCTTTGCTTTCAAAAACAGTCCAAGGAGGGTTCACCATTTCGGGACAACCCTTTTGACACCCCATGCCGGGAGCCTCTCAAGGGCTTCCTTTGAAGTTGCTGGAAAGACTCTTAGTTGAATGGGGGTCTCATGTTCCTGCTAACATCACACCCTCAAAAGGAAACCTACATTACATGGCAACCAAAGGGTGGTGGGCATAATGCCAACTGAGCATTTCTAAACGGTTGCAGGATAAAAGGCAAGCCGGGGGCCCAAACAAAATACGCACCCGGAATAAACACAAAAATAATTGCGCTTGCTTTTGTTTTTGGAAAGGAAACAAAGAAAGAGGCGAGGAGGTAGACAAGAAAGACAACACATGGTCCTTGGATTTGTGATTCCTTGTTCTTGATTGAGCTCTCCATGTCCATCATGTCCAGCTTCCAAAAACTCATGTTTTCTGACGTGTCTCTGGTTTTAACAGCTGCCCACAATCAAGCCCATAAAGGGGGTAGTACTTCAGGCCCCGACATGACCCCACAATGAAAACTTGCCAAGTGAAACTACCTCTCAGCTACCTAAAGACTTAGGCAGCCCAGGTGGTGCCGGTGCGTAAAACTTCAGGCTGTGTTGTTAGATTTGGGCTGTTGCCCAAAATCCAGCATGTCTAGCTTTCCAAGACTCATATTTTCTTACTTGTGTCTTGTTAAAAACTGCGCCCAATAAAACCCACAAAGGGGGTACTTCAGACCCCCATTTGACCTTCTTTCAGGGGCCCCTACAATATCTTGTTGCCTGGCCTCCCCCCAATCTCAAAAGGAAGCTCCAGCAAGACTAAATCAAATGGAAACTCAGTTCCAAATCTGAATGCTTTTCTGGATGCCCTGGGGGGGGGGGTCCCCATTTTCTGTGCAACAAAGAACACTTGATAACTTGGCGCACATCGCTCCCTTTACTAGATGATGGCTTGACCGTGCTCGTATGCCAAACGGCCACGCTCTTCATCTGGAGCGCCCTCTTGCGGAGGATTTCCGAATGCAACTATCCGATTCAAGGGACGACGTAATTACCTGCACACAAGTGGCCTATCTGGAACACCTGCAATGACCTCGTGGATGTCTCGTGGACTTGACCCTGGCCGCTGGAGAGGGTGCCTGGGCCGATCCCTCTCCGCCCCAAGCCATTGCCTTAGCGGCTTTCAGCTTCTTCTGCTGCTTGTTCTCTTCCACGTTCACCTCCTGTGAAGGTTGTGTCCTAACACCTTGGTGCGGGGCGTCGCTTTTGGTGCTCAGCCAAAAGCCCACCGATGTTCTACCCTGGTTGGCCATGTTGAAGTTCGGACCCCCCATGATTTGCCTATGTGGGCACACACCTCCCCTACATACAGTGCCAGCACTTGCAGGTTGGGGATGTCCGGCTAAGATCACTCCTAAAATGGGCAGCTTTCCTCCAGCCCCAATGGCCCAATTCAAGGCACCCCAAAATCTGAAATTCATGCAACGCTTCAGAAATCATTCACATCTTCCACTGACTGGCCGAACATCAGCAGCCAACAAAACAACGCCTGCTGGTAGCGTCTCGAGATAGAAATGCCCCTGGTTCAGCCTAAGGAAACAGGTGTTCCTTGTACTAATTTGCGGGTGAGAGTTGGTTGGATGAAGTATTCTTACCATGCCTAAATTCTTCGCCGCGTATGGTTGGGCCCCGCTAGGCGCCTGAGTGTCCGACGGGAATTGGGTAGACCCCTTGTCCTCCTCAACCAACACATTATTTTGCGTCATTTTTGCATACAAAGCCCGGTCAAAATCACTCGTTCCCACAAGTGGATGTGGGCAAAATAGGTATGTTTGACCCAAGGTCATACAACATGCAACAAGTGCAGTGTGAGCACAAAGTCGCGCGACCGTCCTTGTTTGGTTGCCCCTGTGTTCAACCGGTGGCCCAAACTAAGAACGCGAAACTTCGAAACCCAAACTCAGGCCAGCCATCTATCAGGAAACCTCATTTCGTGCTTCCCATCGGCGTGCTCACTTGCAAAAAGGCGCAGCTTTGATTGCCCCTAAACTGGCGCAATACTTGTTGACGCCATCAAAATCAATTCAAGTGGCCGCAGTAAGAGCAATGATCCCTTCAGGTTGGCTCACAGGGCCACAAAAAGCAAACCGCTATTTTGGGGGTCTCTCGATTTTGATTCACACGCGCAACCTCGGACTCTGAATCCAAGCGGCTCCAGCTCACCATGCCGGATGCAGCCGCTGCCAAATCTGAGCGATTTCGAAACCACCCCAACAAACAGCAGTCCTTTTTTCATCGAAGCCAGTAAGCCAGCATGTTCTGCAGGCAATTCTCCAAAGACCGACAAAAGGAAATCCTGTAGAATATCCTGTAGCGGGTTTCTTGGACGGCCTCTGCGGAGCAAGCCCGCGAACCTAAACATGGTCGACCATTCGAAGAGCCTCCTTGTCGCTTTTTTCAGGGGCCCAGAGTCTGGTTCGTTCCGGCCAAGCATCCCAAAGACTTGCCATTTACCAAAGCGGGGCTGCCAAATGTGGGTCCGAAGCACCAAGCCGAGAATCATCCCAAGCCAAAGTCTGATTTCCCGCAAAGAACACATTGCGAAACAAGGGGATGCCCTATTCTGCACTAAAGTTGACTGAAAAAAGGCTGGATAGCGACAGAGTAAAAGTCACCTCAGACTCATTCGCCTGGCCAATATTGGTCCTGGACCCCGGCCCCATTCCAACCAAGTTGGAGTTGCATCAAGCACCCCGAACTAGTTTCATCTAATAGACCACACGTGCCGGAGAAAAAAGGAAGAGAACAGTGTCTGCAAAAGACAAGCGACAAAGCGTACCATTCTTACCCATTGGCCAATAATCATGCTGGACGTTTGGGGCCTTTTCGAGGGGATGGTCTTCCAAAACCCTCCCACCGGAAACCAGCCAAAGCCCCGGCCAAAGCCCGGCTGGCGCCAAGTCGCAGGAGCGATCGTCTTGGAAGCTGCTGGCTCCGCTCTTGGGGGCTGGCGGCACGCCCAAATGCGCCGACGCCACATGTGCACCTGAGGCATTGTGAAAAAAAACAAAACAAAAAAACACGAAGGGGCGCGTCTGTTCGGGTACCCGTTTCAAAGAAGGCACGTGTTCTTGTGGGGTCCCGCTATGTTTGCCACGCGCAAACAGAATGATGCGAAGCAAATGAGCTTTGCACATTCTACGCGTTGACGTCTCACGTTCTAACTTGAATCTAAACCATGCCACTAGAAGCAATCGCCATTCCGGGCGCCAAATTGGGAGCTGAAATCAGATCTGTCAGCTGGAGTAAATCAGGGAACAACACTTTAAGTACCAAAAGGAACAAGGACCACCGGTTACCCTACAAGCACCCTCCACGGCTGTTCGCTCAAATATCCAAGTCCCAACCAAGTAGTGTCCAACAAGCAGTCGTGGTAGAAATCAAATCTGTTCTTCAAGCACCATTCTAGGTGCTCCATTGGGGGTCTGGCGAAATAAAGCTATTCATCAATTCATCCGTTTTGGTTTCCCTTTTGGAAGGCTACTCGATATAGGCTATTTAGCACCCGTGTTCAATCCCAAACCTAGGATATAGATATTTTTGTGTCAGTAAGTTGCTAGAAGTTAACCCATGCAAAGCCACGTGGCAAATAGAGTCTGATCAATAGATCCCCTCTGATTACAAACACCCGATGTTTCCAAACAATACTACGGTATTCATGCTTTTGGCCAACTGCCCCCTTTGAATGATTGTGGGCACCTTCCAGAACGTCACTTTCCGGCCCAAAAAACAAAAACAAAAAACATACTTAATTTGAATTACTGAAGCTATTGCCGATGCTTTGTGCCAATGCTAACGGCATTCATAGCACTCTGTTGTGCTTGGAATGCCAATACTTGCGCTGTCGGGCAGTGCCAGAAACAACAGTCTGACACCACAAACGCTGGAGACAAACAACTGTGACTCCAGACAGCGGGCCAAACAGCTATGACAAACCAGACCTCGAGGCTCCTGCCAATCCTCTTGGTGGCTTGGATTTGGTTTGGTTCAAATCCCGGACCTTCAAAGGTCCAACTCGGGGTGACCGGGTGTCTTTCGACCGAGGTGCCGAGCTCCACACTGGCCAGGCCCTGTGGGTCTGCCACCTCTAGGCTCAAGGGTGGTGCTGGCCTCAGACCGCTGGCAAGGGAAGCCGCTCGGCCGGTTCAAAACGGGTCTAGGACTCACGTCCTCCGCCTATTGGCGGCCCGAAAACATCCATTTAGCATCCACTCATGTGGCATTAAACATCTTTCTTGGGGACCCTTTGCCGGCTTTTTCTCGAGGGCACAAGTGCCGGCTTGCTTGTGAAGGCCAAAAATCAAACGGCCCTGTTCAGCAGAAACCCTGTTTTGGGAACAAACCTGTAATCACATACTGAGTCACGGTCAAAAAGACTTGCTTCCCCCACGAAAACATGGGAATTGAGTCCCCTAGTTGCTGTGGGACATTTGATGAGGTTCCTGTCTCTCCAAAATGAAACATAGACTGGACATCTTGATCAAACCGTATAATGAAGCTGGTTCGGAAGGCACCTGAAGACTGTCGGGAAGCAGGGATGGAGTAGTCAGAATGCAGTTTCAATGCAAACCCCGAGTAGTCAACTTTGATCTGTGCAAAGGGCAGAGTTCTGAACACAGCCTGCAACAAACGCTTAGCATAGTGGTACCAAGTGTGGCTTCAATGTAAGCCTGTGCGCTTCCAGCGCCGCAGGGGATACTCGTCACCAGGCTTCCTAGACTTTGTCCTCTCTGGCTGTGATTGAGTAGACTTGCCACCCACAAGCGTGGCTTCGCGTGCAGACTCCCGCTTTGAAAGCCTGCCCTCCTTTTGGAGATTGTGTCGGCTATTGGCTCGAGGGAAGGCAACAAGCGCATCGGATGGAACAAGTGTCACTTGTTTGTTGAAAATGTTCCGAAGGTTGGGGTCGTTCAAAAGAAACAATCAAGGCTTCACCCATGGTTCTGTTGCGCCTGACGCACCCCCCACCCCTTTCACGCGCCCACACGCCCACTGGAGCCAAAAAGCTCTGTTGGTGCTGGCGGGGCAGGATCCGGAGTTGCCGGGCGGTCTCCTGGCAAACTGCAGTAGCGAAGCAATTTTTCAAGCAATCGAACGGGGTTGTGGGGCAATGAATCCTATGATCACAGGAGAACACTGTGAGACTTTGCATTTAGCCGCCCTTACCCAAAGCATAAGGCTGGATTTTGTGATAAATCGTTGTGCTCAATATCTGGGCAAGCCGTTGGGCTCGAATCCAATCCGAATTTGCCTTCTATCAAGCCACTAAAATCCAGAAATTCCAACAAAATCGCAGGGAATCCTTGGCCTTGGGTTGAATTTCCTCTACCAGCTTCTCGCTAATTTGTGGTTTGGATTGGCGCTTTGGTGGTTAAGGAGTGATTTCCCATTCCCCCCCCTCGAAGAAGCAGGGCTTCAAACCCCCCAAACCACCAATCCAAACCACCAATTCAGGCTCCCTGACTCTAATCCAAAAAATCCAAAAAAAATCCAAACAAACCGCAGGGAATTCTTGGACTTGGGTTGGCCTTCGGCCAATTTCCTCCAGACATCTCCCGCCCGAAAAAACTCCTCAACCGACGGCTCAAGCGACCTTTTCCCGCCTTCAGAGCCGGCCTCCGAGGCCATGGCGGCTTCGAAGCCCTGCAATGTTGACGAGGTGCCAGGAGTTATGGGCATTTTGAAGAAGCTTCCTGGAGAAAAACACGGACACATGTGTCCGGTAGTGATAGGTTTTCTTTAAAACCAACAAGGAGAAATACTAACAATAATAATAAACAAGAATAATCATAACAATAACAATACAAACAAACATATGCTTAAGCAAATGGAAAGTAAGGTGATGCGCTGGATGGATGCAATCGCAGCACTTGGAAACCCCAAACCAACCAGTTTCAACCACGGTTCTCACGACTATTGTGGTCATTCAGTGGATGGTTGCAAAACCCAGAAATCGCACCATTTGCAAACCATGCTTGAAACCCCAACGTTTGGCATTTACAGGGGAACCGAATCATTCCAGGGATGCTTAGGTGGTGCGAAGTGAATTTCGTCCATCCACAGTGTCACCGTGGTAAGGGAACTAGCCTCAGCTCCCTCCCTCCAACCTAGGTGCTAAACTTTTGCGGGCAAAAGTCAAGCCCTTCTTGAATAGTTGACTTTGAAGGGGATCTCAATTCCCCGAAAAAGAATCGGGGTGTTTGATAGGGAGTCTGGACAGGGTAAGCCGTACTCATCGCCTTGTTGTTGAAGTTCCGTTTGGGGTAAGCTCAGCAGCTAGTACTGATTGGTATTCGCAGCCACCGTTTCTGCCCTTCCGCCAATCATTAAAGTGCACAGAGCGAGCGAGTGCATTATGCTTGTCGGTGAGCTGGTGCATCTTCAAAACAAGCGGCAGCTTCGGTCGGAATTCAGGACTCAAGAGAGGTAACATCCGCAGTACTGGAGTGGCTCAGATCCATGCAAAGCCCAAATGTTTGAAACAGGATGACCGAGCCGCTTCAACTCACTTGGTGGCCTCAGCTAAAGTAAGACTTCAATCAATCAAAATGAAACTTTGCCTACTGCTAAACTGACAGTGAGACAACAAGTAGAATGAAAGAATCCATCATGGATGAGCTCGTCTCACCCTATGGCCCGAATGGTCCACAGATTGGCCTGGATCTGGCCAAACAACTCACTTGCAACGAAAAGACTTTCCTGGGCTGCCAGAACTACAACGGAAAACACAAAACCAAAGGCTGCAGAAATATCCAAAAGGGGGGCAATTGACCACACTGCCATCATGTGAAAAAAATGCAAAGCTACCTTACAACCCTTGAATGCATCTCCAAAGAGCTCCGGCCTGTGTTTGAGCAAAATAATGTTGGTTGAAATGCTACCGGGGCCGGGAGGGGGGGGGAGCCCTTCAAAACGGGATTCCCATTTAGACACGCCACCTGCCACCTGCCCGACCAACCTGCCTCTGGTATGGCCCCATTGAGGTTGTGCCTGGGACCTCAAGGTTTTTGCACTGCTTGGAAAAGACGTCCCTACCTGCAATAGGGTCCACATGATTTTTCTAGGAAATGCACACCACACTATTGACTCCATATGAAATGCACACCATAATGTTGGCCCCATGTGAATAAATCCCAGTTTATTGATGGGGGGGTGGCCCTGAGGTTAGTGGGGAATCATCACTTTTGGAGGCGAGCACCCCCCTATTAATAAACTGGGGTTGATTGATATGGGGTCAACATTTTGGCAACTGGACAAGTTGCCTGAGCTTCATGAGAGTGTTTCTCCTTGCTGGTTGCCTTCTAACCCTTGAAAACTGTCCAAAGTGGGTTCCCGTATTTCTACAACCAGACCCATATTGTGTGCACTTGCTCCGAAGACTCTCTCCAAAGCCTCGCACACTGGGAGCCAGCCCCAGCCCAGTCCTGTCAACCCCACCCACCCAAAACTTCGCCAAAACCAGTCCTCACACGAACATAACCGTAAATATCCATAAACCATCCTAAATTTACCCACACCAAACAAAACTTCTTGGGTAAGCCATGGGGAGGGGCAGGGGGGGGGGTTGCCCGTCATATGGCATGGGATTTCTGAAGATACCGACCGCGGGAAGATGTGTGGTTCCCGATTGGTGTCGCTGTGGACAGACAGACAAACAGACAAACAGACAGACAGACGGACGGACGGACAGACAGACAGACAGACAGCTCTACGGGAAACAAGGCTGATCGCCACTCAATCAACAGGAAGTCCTCTGAATCAGCAGCTAGGCATGGCTTGCAAAGGTTGATCCCCAATTGTTTTCACCAATCGCCCAGATTGCCAAAATGTTGGCGCGTTCAGAAATTTATGAAAGAAGGAGCCCTGGAAAGAACGGGGCAAAGTGCGTAGTCTGCTTCTCTTCGCAACGCTTTACACAACCTGGGCAGTCCAGACAAGCCTGCTCCATCTGAGCCAATCAAGTGGCAACTTGCCATCCAAGTTCTGTCTGAGGCGCTCTCCGCAAGAAGCTTGTCCTCGGATGCCAAACGCATCAAAGCAAGGGTAATGTGCAAAACTGCTTTCCTGAAATAGGGAACCTCCGTTTCATGTTGGGCTTTGCTGTGGTTTCCTTCAACACGAGCCACAAAAACGTCCCATGGGTCCGCTGCAGGAAACACCCGCTGAGGACGGAGGAATGGGTCCATGGAAGTGTGGATGGGCCTTGTGATGTGTTCCATTGCGGTTCCCTTCGCATTGGCAACCGCAACCCTGCGCTTGCAACAAAAGGGATCCAAAGGATGGGCCAACAGCTCATTTGTTTTGGTGTGTGTCTTGGTCTGGATACAGTCCTCGACGCAAACTTGCTTTCCGGACTCTTGCCATTGGAAAATAACAGGACTTCGTGGCCAATCAGCCCTAGATCAGCCTTTGGTTTGTTGTATAAATTGTATCAACGTTCCTGTTTCTATCTGCTCAAGTTGGGAATATGCCTCAAAAAAGGAACATCTTGACCATTGCACTGGCAAGGGCATCATCGCAGCCATTTCAACATGTGTTTGGCTCACTCTCCACACATAAAACCCTACCACCATCCGACTATCTTGCAAGGGTCATCCCAATTTCGCCATGAAGCAAAAGAAGCAGAAACTAGCAATGGACTTGATCAAGTCTCAAACACACTACTATCACGCCCCCCAGGCCTACACCCGTTCGTGACCCCAAACTATGAGACTCATCTTAGGCCGCAACTCTCCACAACGTTCAGCCAAGATGCCGAGACTTCCATGTCCATGTTCAGGCAGCGTGAGTTGGAGGTCTCTTGATCATCCTGCCTGGAAGGAAACGGAACTGGTTCAGATGTGGCTGGGGGCACGCCCGAAGCCGGCCAGCTGTTTCGGGACGCTTAGAAGCCGCCGAAAACGGTCCCTGAAACCTTCAACCGTAGGGAGAGGAATCCTTGGAAGGCAAACATAAAATATGTTTACAGTTTCTTCCAAGCGCACAGCTCGAATGGGCTCATGGAGGCACCTGACTCTTCGACCGTTCGACCCTTGACGCACTTAAGCTGGGAAGGATTGATTTCGGTCTCTTTGCAAGGGATTCGAGTTCCGCAAACAAACAAACCCGAAGTGAGAGCTTTGGGGTTAAGGTCCGACCCGAAGACCTTCATGGAACCGGGCCTCATTCGCTCCATCATGACGCTGTCAGCACCCTTTGCCTGGGCAAAGGCAAGCGTCACACAGTGAATCAACATAGAACCCAAATGACGGCTCTGCAGGAGGTGGTTCGGGTTTTGGAAAATACCACTGCCCTTACCCCATAAGGTTCCAGGACTTGACATGCATGGACACACGACTCGCCGCGCCCTCGAAAACAAAGGGGCAACCTTTGCTGGACTTGACTCTAGTATCTGAGTGAAAAATGCAATAATTACTATGATTCACCAACAGGAAATACAACTCAAGAACACGGAATAGAGTCCTAGGCATAAAACCCCCAAAACTGTGGTTCTTGATGGCTTTCCTCGAAACCAGTACCAAACAGTGCACCCTCAAAAAGTCGCCTTAGTTCTGTCCAGGGGCGAAAAGGATGTACTGGCCATCCTCGAGCTGGCCGCCCAGATTCTCCATCGACGTCACCCTTGGGAAGGTAACGGATTTTAGGCGAGCCACTGCAGCCGCAACCAGTGACCCCAATGGTGGAAAAAGGGCTCTAACCCGTTTTGAGGTTGATTCCATGTTGACTAAGAAACCCACCAGCCTTTTCCTGGCCCAACTCTCAACTTAGTCTAACCTTGTCCAACCCCCTCTCCCCTAACCCGCTGCTCACTCTTCCCAGCCACAAAAAAGATACACACGCACCACCCTCGAACGCTGCAAGTGGGACAATTTTCAAACTGCAAGCCCTCAAACATGGACACGTTTTGGATTACCTCCGCAAGGGGGTACCCTCAAAAAAGTCTAAAGTACACCCCTCATATAACCGGGTTCCTTATATTTCCACTTAGATCCTCCGGCAAAAACAGGTGATGCTTTCAAGAACCGAAGAATGTATAGCCCCCTTGCCGCAGTTTTCCAAGGCGCCCTTGAGGCGCCATGAAGGCCGACACCATATGGGAGCTCTGGGGGTTGGCCTAGGCTGCGTGGAGAAACGCGGGATCAACGCTTCGCAGTCCCCTTCGAGTTCGATCCTTTTGGTTTACCGTTGGCATGATTGCATGCCTCCAACAGAATTCCTACTTTTGGAAAAATCCACACATTTTAACAATGAATTTAGTCTCAAATCCCTAAATCGTAGGGTCTTGGAACAGGCGGCCAGGTCGAATGAGGTTCCGTGGCACGGTGCCAGGGGCAAAACTTCTTTCATTCAGACCGTATATTTCCCCTGGCGGCTTTACACGTCACGAGTATTGTGTTTGTTCCCTCAAAATTTGCTTTCACGTATCAATTATCAAACCCTATATATGCACTCAAGTGAGTTTCCTTTTGGAGAGCAAATGCCGCCCGCCGCCCTTCGAAAACGAGCAACAAGGCTCAAGATGTGTGCACCAAAGCAGCACCGCCCAACGTGTTTCCACCAGTATCTAACATTGGTAGCAAGGGCGTGAGAGACAAATGAGACTATTCTTTTGAGCCTTGGACTTTAGCCGTAGGGTTCTTACTTATTTGCTTGGGGAAAAATGCGTCCAATGTTATGGCGCAGCGACTCTGGAATGATGTCTGTAATCCTTTGCAACGGTATAAGTGCACGCTTAACTGTTTCGATCCCCTGCTGCTGGTGCTATGGTGATTGATCCAGGGCTCTCAAACCCTACCACGAACTGAGGCACCACATCTCTTTCTGCAGCGGAAGTGATTTGTCCAGCACGTCCTTTGACGTCTCTTAGGGGTGTGGACGACTTGATGGAGTTCAAGTGCTATGTTTGCACAACAGTTGCTTGAACAAAACCTCCGTGTGGTCTCCCCAAAGGGCGCCCACGCCTCGCTTCTCAGACGGTCAAAGTGGACACGTCCCCGACGTCCGAAAAATCTGAAAAATCCGATCCATGGCACCGGGGGGTCGTTCCCGGAGCACTGACGCACCAGCACCGACATGCGCTTCCGCTCCGAGGAGAACCTCGGAGAATGAGAAGAACCGTCTCCAACATGGGCTTAGGGCTCAACTCACATTAAAAGAATGGCAAGGACCCAACTTGGATGACAATCCTTAGGGAAACAATGGTGGTCATATGAACCCTTATTCTTGTAATGGTGGTTTGAACCCCAGGGTGTTGATTTGGTATCCTGCCTGCGTCGGCACTTCTGGCTTTGAGCCGAGGAATGGGCTAGGGCCTCACGTATTTCGGAACTGAAATAAGCTGTTGAGCTCATGGGTCATTCAGGATTCCGGCAACACCAGTATGTCCCTGGAGTTACATCGAGATCCCCAGATCAGTGTGCTCTGTTGGAATGCCCCAGCACAACTTCCCCAAATCCGCCCAAGGAACAACTGCAATATGCTCAACCTCGTTTAACTATCGCAGCCTGGATGGGGCATGTGCAAGGTTTGACCTGCGTTCTGTGCGCAAAATACTCACTCACAAGGGCAGTTGGCTCATGACCACGCTGTACAACGTGCGATTCGGCGTGGCAGTCCCGGTTGCGCAGTGACGCCGGAGTTCTGTTTTGAGTTTTGCAACAAGGTGGTGGACATTTTTGTCTCGGGGCAAAGCACCCGTCGTGACTCGGTAAGGGCAAGTCGGCCAGTGACAGGGGCACCTTTTGCAAAGGATGCCTGGTACCATGCTCATGAGTGCATGACTATTGTTAGAGCAAAAGTCAAGAGCCCCCGGCCAAGTGAGAGAGGGCTCCAAATCTGAACTGAACCAGCAGAAGCCTTCTGTTTCCCACGAAAGGCTGCCTAAAAAGGCATTTTTGGAGGTTCAAGCCTCCTTTCGGTTTCTATTTGCCTATGTGCCAAGAAAAATCTGCGGGGCCCGCCGAAGCTGGGGAAAACGTGGTGCTATCACCCATGGCCATATGTAAATGGTGCCCACAAAGGCGGCATGGTGAGAGCTCCTTTCTCCAAAAGAAAAGGTAGGCACGCTGGCCGTTAAAGTCACCCCTCAAAGCCCCTCCTCAAAGGGCACCACCTGAGTGTGCGGAAAACAAGTCCGTCTAGGTCAGGGTACCCGTTCAACGATTTCCAATGAATGGGTTCCGATCCCACAGAAGCCATTGAACAGGTCACCCCTCAAATTATTGGGATGGCCCTCCATACCAAGCTGCTCATTGCACATGAGCACCGAGTAGTACACCTGCGGATGCAACGGCTGGTGTGCAAAATCGTGCCTGAGCAAATTGAACATATGGATATAGAATAAATATGTACACAGTTTCTATTATGTATCTTATGTCTTCCGGCTGCAAGAGCCGTTTGGCCCCCACTGCACAAGGCGTGGTCCAATAACGATGGTTTCTCAAAACACACACACACACACACACGCGCGCCAAGCAGCAAACATCCCAAAGTGTTGTCCGAAAAGTGCAGCTGGTCGGCAGGATCATGTGTGTGTTCTCATTCCGCACAAGAATCGAACATTACACTGCCTAGGTAAATATTATATTCCTGCAACGTGCTGCTAATCATGGTGCGATGCAAGAGTGTACCTTCGCACAGATCCAGAGAAGCAAGTAAAAACCATAAGGAAAGGCGGAGCCCGGAAGGATTGACTTCCAAAAGCAAATGGCCGACTAGTGGCATCAGGTCGTCTGGGGGGTACAAATGGGCCAGTGTAAAAAACCGGTGTGTATGTGTGTGTGTGGGCACTCGCCCAAGGGGCGTGCGTATGCGTGCGTGTTTGTCGCCACTTGGGACCCCTTCTGGTTCACTTTTCTGGAAAACCATCATGATATCAACCAAAGGGTGAATCGCAAGTGTCCTTCTGCACACGTGATGCGCGCAACTTAGCATTTCCAGGAGCTGAGCATCCACACTGCAAAACATGCCCATGGGGTCAAAACGAATCCTGGCTACGGACATCAGCCAGCGACTTGCGAGTCCCGGCCTCTTGCCCGCGGATGTTGATGGTGAGCCTATTGCCATTTCCTTATGGCAGCCAACCTTTGAAAGTTGGCCTATCGCCTCAATATGTTCGCCAGTTGCGGCATGATGTTTTTCTGGTTTAAACGTCGCGAAACTGGTCACTATGAATGTTCGGGGGTGGGCACCTGGGCACACATACGTCGCAGCGGTCCCAGTCTCTGTAGATCGCATGTTCTGCCGGGGGTTCTGAACTGATGCGGGCATTTTGTGTCGATTTGCGTCCCGAACCTCCCCATGCATTTATCCGAGCGAGTGCTACTCCCTGTCAGAACCCATACCTCGAAATCAGCACGATAACCAGGAGGTCTCATCAACATCTCGGAAACTATTCTGACAGAATTAGAAGGGCTGGGCGAACACCCCGGAATATATCCTCTTAACGCCATGCAAGGCCAATCTACTTTGCACATTTCCCTAGAGCTCACCCTTTCACCCAACAAACGTTGTCACTGGCAGAAGCGGGAGCGATCGGAGCCACGTGCTCATCATTCAGCTCGGACCCTTTCCCGTAACAGCATGCCGAAACATCCATCCCGCAAACGATGCAAACGTCACCTCAGAAAGCTACCACCTTGGCAATTGAACAAGTTATGTGCAAGCTGCCTGCACAGGGGAAATCCCTGAACCCACCCCGAAACACTCCTGAAACCACAGATCGACCCCCAAACCAATCACCCATCTGAAGCCATCCTTACAACCATCCCTGATTGAGCAAAGGGATCCCCATCTTGATTCAGAAACTCCTTTTCTGGGGGCTCCCTTACTAGGAGAGGCCCAGTACAGCCCCGCACGGGAAATACGCCCCAGGATGCCCCAGGACCAAGCACTTGGCCCCCCGAATCCGCTTTCGCGGCCAGGCAGCGCTTCTTGTAGTAGAAGCCGAAGTCCCGGGCCATGGCCAACAACGCCTCCTGGTTTGGAGAGGCCACCGAGGCTGAAAATATCAAAGGATCCACACCCGACCCAACAGCAACCTCAGGCCGCAAGGAGTAGGTTCATGGAGAAGGGCTTGGATCTTGTGCATGTAAAGAAACAGATCGCAGAAAAGCACAGCGCCGTCCTCATCTGGAGAGGGGCTTCGGAATGCTGTGCCTCAGCGCAGCATGGACCCCACAAAGTCACTACCCGCAGATACCCTCCAATCAACAAACATGGAAGTGCACAGGCTGATTTTGGAACACTGCTGTTCCCTTGCGAAGCCTGTAGAATTCCATACCCGCCGTCTCCGAAAAGGGGAGCAAGGGCGGCCAAGCATGTGCTCAATTCTTGGCCCAGTATGCGTTCTATTCGGCAAGCTACTGGTGGGTGTGGGATGCCCAGTGGGGATGGGGACCGCAGGCGCACGCACAAAAGCACAAAACAAATTGCCGAGCTACTGTTGGCCTCTTCCAGAAGCTGCATCCGGTTCTCCACCCCTGCCTCATCCCGCAGACACTGCATGGCTGGGTCATTCTGGCTGACCTGGTGCGACATATCGCACGCAGTGCGATGCGAACCCGACTAGGGTTTATATTACTCTCCCGGCCATTTGCTCGACGACCTGTTAGTTCTTTGCCGCGGTTGCAGGAGTTCACAACACAATCAAAAACAAGTGACAAATCCGTCGACCGCTACGAATGCCAAAAACAGCATGTTGCGCCTAGAATGAACCACTACCTCTTCTTGCACTGGTAGACCCTAGTTCCAGTTCTTGCCCAAAGTGACATCCATATCTTCATGGTTGGTCCCGAAAGTACCCAGACCAGAACTCATGAAATGTGGCTACTTTAACGGCCCCACAGAATCACAAACTAATTCATAGGCCCAAGATCCCCTTGGACCCGCGTCCTTACAGAGGAATCCACAGCTACGCCCAAAGGGCCTTGACTGCGGCTCGATCAGCGTGCTAAGACATCTTATCAGAAAAGAAACGATGCCCTTGCTCGGCCGACAAGTAACTTTCCCAGAGTCTCGGACCACACAAGCCCGATTTTGCACTCACCCATGGTTTGTGTCTTCCAAAGTTACATATTTTGCCACTGCCAAAAGCTTCTGTGGCGTCACTTCTTCACTAAGCTTTATCGCGAGTCTCAATCTTAAGCAGACGCTTGGTTGGAGAAAACACTCTTTCTGCGATAATGTATCTACATTTTGTGTTATAAGTGTTTGCTGTGCCTACTTCATCAATCCGAAGAGGAGGCCCTTCGTATCACAGAAAAATGCCAACTCCTAAAACCCAAGCATTCCACTGCGCAAGCCACTGTCAAAATTACAGTTCCCCAGAAGGGCATAGGGCAATGATTGAAATTTTGTGAACTCCCCCATATCCCTCCCAAATGAGCCATAGACCGCGAATTTCGACCAAACCTCAGCTATACTCGGCAAACCTGCTTCTTCTTTCTGACCCTTGCAAAGCTAGCAAGGAAAACTCAACGCAATATTGCCAGACCCTGCTTCATATGTTGAATCCTCAAAAAACCTTGCGTTTGGAGTACAGATTCGGCACAAATCGTCCACTCGGTGAGGCGGTTTCCGAGGCACAAAGTCCAAGTCCTGCAGGGATTGCATGAGGCCGTTGGACCGCTTCTGTGGCGTCACCGGCGGCATGCGCTCCGGCAAAGCGGTGTGGCAGGTGGCTAGGCACCTTTGCTGCTCAGCCGGTGTTTGTGGTTGAACTCGTTCGTGATTCTTGGGACCTATGGAACTTGCGTGTGAGGGACTTGTTCGTTTTGAGGGGTGTGCGTGTGTGTGTGTCTTTTATTATTAAGGTTTGTACAGGACTTCCTTTCCATTATCATATACATATATATATATATATATTTAATAAACCAGTTCACATTAAAACAATTTGTTCAGCAAAAGCTCAAGATAAGCAAATCGCGTGCAACCAGCAAATGCACACTTGCGTGCACAAGCAAGTCAAATTACAGCAACAACTGCACTACCATAGTCCCCATGCCCTCTTTTCTGCGTTGTGTGTGTGCCCTAGCTTTTTCGTGTGGTTCCTTTCATTTTTTTTGGTTGTTGTTTGGGTTAAATTTCGTTGGTTATTATGTATGTGTCTTTGGTTTGGTTTGGTACCCGTTTTGGGTGGTGACTGGAAACCAAAAGGAGCACCGTATCTTGTGGAACAAAACTATGGTTGCTTTCAAGGGAAGCCAAAAGGAAACAGAAGCCCATTTTGAAGGTCCAAGTATCCTCTCAACACATGCCCCTGTCAACTAGCTGTGTTTTCCAGGCAAAAACCAAGCCTATATTGATCAAACCAGCCTACACCAACCCGAGCCTTCCTGGTACAACTACCCTTGACCGACCCTAAGCTTCCCACATGCCCACCTTGAGCCAATCCTCCAACTTCTCAACCCACAGGCCTAAACCGCCCTCAACCCGCCCTGAGCCTAAAACAAACTCAAACCAAGCCCAGGCCTAGTTCCTAAACCGACTCTAAACCTGCCTTCATCCCATCACATTTCAGCACCCTGTAATTAACAATGTAAGGCACCCCCCGAAAATCCCAGCCAAGACGAAGCAAACAACTCGCAAACCAACAAGGACAAATCGGCACCCATGCGGTAACCAAAGTTCAGCTAGCCCCTGCCGTGAGCCGTTTTCAGCTCCTGCGAGAAAGCCGGGTTGGTCGAAAGGTGTGCCTGACTCTTTGCTTGCTTGTGAAAGAACTTGTTGCTACTTTTGAGGGTCTGGCTCTGATTCGGCCCAAAGAAAGGATTGGAAGGGTGCCTTTGATGTCCTTATAACCCTGTTTCTTTGTCCAACCCCATAGCCTCCCCGAATTAACCGGCTCGTGTGGCCCTCCTGGAAAATCCTCCAAGAAAACCCATGCAAATCGAAGGGGTTTGCGAGTGGAGCTGATGCCTTTTGAACTCAAGGTGGGATCAAGGCCATGCTGTAAAGAACTCCAGGCGCCATGTCTCCAGTGGGCATGGGCCTAAACCCTAAACCCAGCTTGTTGCCAGGTGAATTGAAGAGGGAACCCCGACCACCCGCCCAAATGCACACACAAACTAAAAATGAAACGCTGGTGTCAGGCCATGGCTCAGGAAGAAGTTGTGGATCAAGTGGTTGTTGGGGCTTGGTAGCCCCAGGCCAGGCTCGCCATCATAGGGCACGTTCCACATGTACGGACCTCTCGGCGTTTGGCTCCCTCTTGCCATCCGGAACTGAACATGGACCCCAAAGCGGGTCGCCCCTCCCCCCCAAAAAAAAACACATGCTTCTAACTGATGGTTTTAATAGCTTGCACCCTAGTCTTGCATGGGTTCTTCCAAAACTTTGGCAAAAACCATATCGTCTGAGAGAGCTGAAGCTTCCATGCGTCTCATCAAAACTAACCATGCGCGCCTTAGTCATGGTTCCCCAGAACACGGAATTCTTCCCATGGTTGTCTGAACTTATGATAAAACGGTTTCTGACCGTCCCTACCAACAGCCAGAAATCAGAGCGTGTTGACCAGATATCAAGTGCCTCCCCTTGAAACCATAGTAGGCGACAAGAGGAGACCGTCCAACAACCTACTCTGGATACCTAGCAGTGTCGCTCAGAATTCCCGTGCCCAAGGAATAGAAGCACCCAGCCAAATGCCTGATTCGCCTTCAGGCTTGGCTTGAAGCAAGGCTGACGATGCCGGTAGGGGCTAAATATTCACTGGTATAGTGTACTCCTATGACTACGCCTAAGCTTGGTCTAAGGTGGTTTCGTTTCCTGAGTGAATGTGTCAAACCGTATCATAACTAAACAGTTGGCGATGCTTCCCACAAGGTTTCAAGCCCAGAAGTCGGGAAGTGAGCCTCATGCAAAGGAGTGGCTCAGGGGAAAACACACGCTGCGCGAGGGTATGCGCTCGATGTGGTCGCTCGGGTAGCCGAAGAACTCTGCGTTGATGCCCTGGCCTCGGCGCACCAGATGTGAAGGGTTTGAGCTGAAGAGGGCCCAGTCTGAAGTTGGCTTGAAAAGAAGCCAGCTGGACAACACCCATTTTGCGGGCTCCCCAATTTGGAGGTAACACGCGCCGGGCCATGGTCATGGTATCCTACTAGAGGTTCACCCCAACTACAGGAAACTCACTTCAACCTGGTCTAGCCCCCCCCAAAAAAAGTTCCAGTAGCTTCACAAGGAACAAAGGAAGGCCCTGCAAGGCCCCCGAGCCAAGTGCAAAGATCTGGCGTCATTGAACAGAAAGCCCATCTCCCGCAAGCATCTCCCAAAGTTTCTGGATGTTTCTGGGCCCGACAGCCTCGGAATCCAATGCAAGCGGCTGGTATCCCCTTCCCGGGACTCGTCCGGAGTGTCGGACCAATAGCCGTAAGTCTGGCCAGCCACGTGGCAGGCCTGCGGATAGGCAACTGACAGCTTGCGACAACCTTTCAGGGAGGCCATGCATTTTTTTCGAGAAGGTGCAAATAGGACAGGACCACGGACCACCCTGCGCCAAAAGCCGTGAAAGAGATAATCAACGACTTTAGTTACTAGTTGTGCTTTTCCAAACAAACATTGGCAAAAACAACGACGTTGACCCGGATTCAGAAAGCTTGCTGGTTAATAGGGGCACTTCCTTGCACTTGGGAACGGCTAAGTCAAAAAAAAAACATCCAGACCGTTTTTTAAAGGAAGGGGTCGATGGTTGTGCCCCTTTCTGTGATACCAAAATGGGGTCCTGTCCCTGTCTGTAAATGCCTTTCTCACTGTAAGCGACCCCTTGGCATCACAGAACGTGCCCCAAGTGCATGAAGTCCAAGAACTCAGGGAGTAAGACATTTAGCCACAAAAGCGCCGCAACCCCCAAACCTGATCAATCCTCAAGCGCTCCCATGCGCATCACATGAGCCTTTCGATCAGAATGTGCCCCCTAGGGATCATTGCTTCCTTGACATGGGGATCGAGCTGCCTGCGGGACACACCCACACACCCGGATACATTCAGCCCGCCTTAAAGCACATCTCGTTCTGCGTCAAGGTGCCGGTCTTGTCTGAGAGAACGAAATCCACCTGAAGTGCTTGTTTGAAGAAAGCCGCATGCGTACTGCTCTTATTGAACATTGACAAAGCCGCCAACACCCACTCAAACTAGAGTAAAAAAGAAAAATGCTAGTTCAAATTTGGGCAGCCCCGGAAGGACCATGTTGATTTGGGGCATAGTTCATGCTTCAGGGCGTCAAAGCCCAAAACCCTTCAGACCCAACACGTCGCGTCGCGCCTGGCCCAAGTCCTCGCAAAGCCCGGAGCTCCGGACAGTGCAGTGGACATCACCCTCCTTGTAGTACATGCTCTCGTCGGATTCCATGATGAAGGCCTGGAACGGAAGATGATCAAAGTCAAGGGGAAGGCCAGTGCTCGTTCGGATTTCCAGCATTTTTCTTGCGCCTGCCCAACTGGAATGCAAAGTGGGGGGAAGTTGAGGGGAGGAAGGGCTTAGTTTCCTGAGGCAAATAGGGCCCAAATGGGAATTTTCACTGAATCCACAAATAAGGCCGGAGTCCGAATAGTTAGAAAACGGCACACGTGCAGCGAAGCTGTGGACGCTTTAATGAAATGATGTGCACAAACTTGGGAGGGAGGACAAAGGGATTCGTCCCTTAAACGGCGGTCAATGGGCGTTGTATCTAAGTCTGTCTGTCTGTTTGTGTGTGCCTGCGGAGTGCTGGGTGCAACATGCTGCCAGGTGCCGCGCCTTGTTTCACAACACATGCTTCGCCCTTGTGTGGCGGCTGTAGAGCATCATCGCCAAAATTACTCAGCAACATCCATCAAAGCCCCGAATGGCCCAAATCCCGAACGAGCCTGAAGTGCGCGCACCAAGTCGGTGGTCATGTAGAGGCTGATGGGGATCAAGTTGTTGTACCCGATGAGGAAAGTCAGAATAGCCATATACGGGTTGTCCTGGAAGGCGTCCCATTGTAAATCAACAAAGCTGCGCGCCAAAAACTCTAGCGCCCTTGGGAGAGCGGCGCAACAGGACCAAGCACAAATCACGTGCATGTGGTGTGGATTAATTAAGTTTGCTTTGACAGGACATGCACGTACATCAAATCAAGCACACACACACACACCACACACGCGGCACGATGCGCAATTTCGCCTATGCCAGGCGAGGTCGTACCTCAGCAGTCCGAGAAGCCTGCCCGCATTCAGGCAAGTAGGATTCTCACGTACGACTTTCCGGGGAAAGCGTGCTGTACCACAACAGGTATTTACACACAATGGTGGCGGTCGTCATGTTCGTACACAAAAAGCATGAACCAACTGCACTTTCCAGAACTGGAAATGGGTCTAACCTCACAGGACTCATTGGCCAACTGCAGCAGGCGCAGTCCCCTCACTGCCCTCGGGAGTCTCTGGCCTATGCCGGCACTCCTGCAAGTCATCGCCCCCTGTCAAAGGCCAGGCCCACGAGAGGTTCTTAGAGCCGGTCGCGTCCGCCAGGAGCCAAGCACGGGCCAAAGCCTTGGGGAAAAGCAATCACGGCACATTCAGGTTTTGGAAAGTCGTATCGATTGTGTCATCACCCTGCAATAAACAGATCTGAGTGATCGCTGTGACAAAGACTGAGCAACACTGGCAGAGCAATCAGGGCAGCTCATTAGCCAAACATTGCTTTCCAAACTACCAAACAAAGCCCAAAGCAAATCCGGCACCACTCGTGATAGACGTGGATCTTGTTCTTTGGGGAAAAAACACACACACACACACACACACACACACACACACACACACACACACACACACACACACACACACACACACACACACACACACACACACACACACACACACACACACACACACACACACACACACACACACACACACACACACACACACACACACACACACACACACACACACACACACACACACACACACACACACACACACACACGCGTGTTCTGGGAATCCGCACGTTCCGCCCCAACGCCCGGCATGAAGTTGGTAAGCTCAAGTATGACTCTGGCTATGGCACTGATCGAGCCCTATGCAGCTTTCCCCCAACCCTCACTTGTCTTCGCTAAGCGGTCCCGGTTTGGTACTTGATCTATCATGGCCCCCTACGGGGGGGCCTGTGGGCTATGGGGCTATTCCTGGATAAGCCAAGCCATGGATAAGCACTTCAGGCCTTAAGGGGTTCACAAGGGACAGGCCCTCCCTCCCCATTGCCCTCCTGTGGAAAGTCCATGGATGCTTGAAGGGACGCCCCTCGGCGTCACGCTGGACTAAGGAAGAACTTCTCATTCGGAAGCTTGTGCCCCAAGCTCGCCAGGTCCCGAACATACGGTAAAGCAACCAACGTACGAAAACGGGAGCCCAAACAAGTTGAAACAGATCGACCAAGAAAGTGGGCCTTGTCTCGAAACAAATACAAGAGGAATCCGGCCTGAAACCAGTCAGACTTCACCTGACACATTGGAGGAGTACCTAGTTTTGACACAAGCCCACCATGACGGAAGTGCTGCAACTACAACTCACCAAACGGACTTCAGGAATCCCGAAGTCAGCTTCATGGGTGGGCTTCACTCTGGACAGCCTACTTGTAGGAGTCTCCAGTTTTCCGAACCACCCACCTTTCATTGGTGTGTTCCTCCAGTTGAAACACAAAAAATACTAAAGAAACGCGGTCGAAAGCGAAGCCCTTTGGCCCCGGGTTCGCGGGTTTCTTCAGCCGAATGAGCCGAGGCAATGGAGATGATGAAGAGCATGAGAAAAACGATGGTGAGCAGCTTGTTGGAGGTCACCTCTACCTGGAGGATGGCCAGGCAAACACGGGCTCCGGGGCTCCGGCAAACAGGTCCTTTTTCTGGGCGCATCAGAACATGGAAGGTGGCCCTTCCGAACCCTGTTTGCTGAAGCTGTTGGTCATGGGGCATATATAGAACTGGAAACAACTTGTCCGGACTTCTTGGGGGAAAGTTAGCATACCTCCAAGAGGAGGTGGGGCCACACAACATAGCTGTCGCAAAAAGGCAGCCCTAATTCATGTCAATGACTCCAAACATTTTGGCAGTTCGACCTGTAGCAAACAGTTTACGCGCAGTTTCCCAGGTGTCTTTGCGTGTCCAGTTTCTTTTGTCGGTCACCTAGCCCCCCGGAAAAGCAAAACAAATACAGCGGAATCTGATTGAAGCCGTACTGTCAGAAGAATAGAAGTGGCTCCTTGTCGATGTTGCAAAGCACCTCCTGTTGGTTGGTTTTCCCTGGCAACAATCCGAGCGTACTGGCCCGAAGAAAGCAGCCACTTTGAGAGACGAGTCTTGGCCCAACCCCGTGCACCCAAAACTCATGTTTTCCGAGTCTGCTTCAAATGACAATCAAACAACATGTTCTATGAAGCTTCCAGGTGAATCGCTCATTTCCGGGCCTGGGATCTCTTCGAGGTCAGGGATCGGCTGGAATTCCGCACCACCTTGGTGTCCGCGCCAGTGTACCTTACGTCCGCACGCTCGCACCGCTGGCTCCAGTTGGGACCGGGCCACAGGGATGAATGCCACGTTTGGGACTTGTCAACCTGGTGGATTGTTCGGGCGCTCAAAACGTGAACCTTCGCTTGGCGCATAGATAAAAACACGACAAGGAACCAGCCAATTTGGAGGGGCCCCCCATTGACCAGCAGGAAGCCCACCTCTCCTCGCATCATCAGATTGACGTGGTACGTGAACGCAGGTCGAGCCAGCAGCGACAAGCTCCACATCAACAGCGGCTAAGGGTCCAAGTAGCCTCTAAGGAGGTTCAGGGATCCGACAAAGTCACGACCAAGTCACGCCTTGCATGCTTTGCAACGGGAATTTGGAGAAGTATTGCCTAAGCTATGCCTTTCAGTCTGCCCCTGCAATCGAGAGACACCTCAAGACGTGGCAAGGAAAGTTGCCAAATATTCCTTCAGCGCAGTCCGTTGACAATTCAGAAACAGTCGTCAGCCAGGCCACACGAGAGGGATGCTCAGCGTACGATCAAGACTGAAAGCCGAGCGAAAAGCCCTGGCTCATCCTTAGGCCTCCATCTGTCCAAACACTTGTTAACACCATTTGACGCATCCTTCAGGTTCCTCTTGGGTCTTAATCTGGCTGGCTTCCTACGCCCGGGTGAGCACGTGTCTGCACCGGGGTTAGGGCCTGGCATGATGTGGGGGGCATGCTCATGTTTCCTTTCTTTCTCAAGTGCCTCACATTTGGAAGCTGATTTCCAACAACGTGGCTTGACGGGAGAACAAAAATTGCCGGGTCCTGACGAAGAACTCTGCAAAACAGTAACTTTCATCTGTGCCCCAGCAAACTTGATACCAAGATGCACAACAAAGGCGATGACGTAGGAGGTATTTCGAATGGTGGAGCCACGCAGGAGCATGTTCTTCAGGCCCTAAGTGAGCGAAACGTTCGAGGCAGCTTTGCCGAGCCACCTGCTGTCACTTGAGCAATCTTAAAAACTGCAAACTCCACTGTGCAAAACCTCCTCTGCTTGCCTTCGGTCCAAACAACCTAGAACAGCAGAAACACGAGAAAGTAACAACAAGGACAACTTCTGCTACAGGCCTGATGACGGGTCGGGCTTGGGGGATTCGTGTTGAAACGAACAAATCATTCTTAATCATTCTTCACACTTGCTTCATGAGGTCCGCGGCAACCGGTTATTTATTCTATATGCTGCAACCAGCTAGTGATCCATGATCTCTGCTGCACGAACTAAGCGCCGGTCCACTGGAACTCCTGCAGTCAGGACCCCTCGCTTAAGGCGTGTTCGGAAGCCCTAGCATGGATCAACTTGCGATGAAGTCAAACAGGTCTTACTGTCCCTCTCCGCGTTCTGCACAAAATGCCTTTCCTCCTTTTTGAAACAATGGCAATGGCCACACAAACAAACACCCATCTGGTATTACAAGGAAACCATGCGCAAAGGCTTCTTGGACCCATCAACATGTCCAGCCAGAAACAATGCTTGTCACGCAGTAGATGGCAATCAATTTGAATGTGTATGCATACCCTGCATGTGTATGTGTATGCCTTTCTTAATTGTTCCCTCCGGCAATCACTATGAAATGGGCAAGGGCCCCCTGGTTTAGTGACTGACCTTGGGTACTCCTTCGGCGAGCTTCGGCAAACCTTCTTTGCTCCTGAGGGATGGGAAACTAGTGATCCCAACCTGCACCCATCCAAAACTGAGCTCTGGCAGGGCGACCTGCGGCAAAAAAAAAGTCTCCTCTAGGATATCCTTTCAGGTAGAGGCATCCGTCAAAGCGCCCCACCAGCTCGTTCGGCAAGTCCGCCTCCATGTGGCCTCCGCAACACGCTGGTTGATTCGACTGGCTCGGCCTTCTGTTCAAATTGACCTCAGCTTGCCGCCCTTCCAATCAGACATAATGTGCTCGGTTCAGATCCCATGACGAAACCAAACGAACCTGTGCCGTGGACCCCATTGAAACGTCCATATCCACTCAAAACCACCGATAGCCAAGCAACAGGAATGGCAAAGGCACGCGCAGGTTTTCGAATCAAGCTACGGGTGTCCAACCTCTCCAACTAACATAAAGGCAGAGTGGTGGGCTACCAGCACCCTCCGACTACCGTCTAATTTTTATTTTCGGAACTACCGGGTATTTGTCAGTACTTCTGAAAATAAAAAAAAAGACAGTAGATCCCCTATGTAAGGTCGTTTCACGTTGTCCCAAACAGTAACAGACAAGCCCACGGGGTGACACGGTGAAACGGGGTGACACGCAGGCGACACGCAGGCGACACGCAGGCGACACGGGGTGACACGCAGGCGACATGGGGACACGCTGGCGACACGGGGTGACACTGGGTGACACGCAGGTGACACTGGGTGACACGCAGGTGGCTAGCAGTAGTTAGACTATGGGCATCTCGCAAATAAAATAATTGACAGTATTTTTCTAACTACGGTTGTGTTTGGGAAATTTCTATCTACTGCCCCCTGGGCAGTAGTCGGAGCGTGCTGGTAGAAGGCCGTTCTGCTCTCGAAGGGAGCCACCCTTGCAGTTTCCACTGAGTTTTTGTAAACATGTTACGTGATTCCCTTTAACCCGAATGGGAAGGCAACCACTCTCTCAGACTCTCCCAACCACCGGGCCGCACCCGGTATCCTTTGCTCGCCTTCCACGCTTCTCAGCGAGGCGTTGCGGATCATATGCTGCGTCTCATCCGCCGAATGCTTTGGCTTCAGTGACGACTCCCCGTCCAATTGGGCGGTGTCGACGTAGGCGACGCTGCCTGCGCACCGGATGCAATCACAAACAGGCAGCAACACAAAACACATATCCATCACCTTGTGGCTGCCTTCTTGGAGATTCGCTTTGAAGGCGTTTCATATAGTTGTACCGCCATTGCTCAAGAGCTCATGACTCCAAATGCTTTGCTCTCATTGGACAAGAAACATGTTTCCTGACTAGTGCAACCTAAAGGCTCCAACGAATAGTTGTTGCTCCGAAACAATTCTAGCGCTCTTTCAAGCGACTCATCAAGCTTAAGGAAAGGCGAGCTGTTTCGAGACAGGGCATTTCATGGGTCCATTGAGGTGACACACTGTCAAAAGGGGCAGTCTCCCCCAAAAGTAATGTGGGGCCCTGAACATCTGACCGCTAGGGATCCCTTTTGACAGTCTTGATAGCTTAGCAACTTTTATGCCTGTGTCTTGCCCTAAGCATGTTGGTACCTCAAAATGGTTGCCTTTTGGAGGTCCAAACCCTTCCAACAGAACAATGGAGGGCCCAATGATGCGGAGGGGACCTCCCTGAGGCCAACTCACGCGCCTGTGGTCGAATACACCAGCAGCATGTCAGCAGGCACCGGCTGGTCCCGGAAAAGCTTCACGAAATTCCCCACCTTGACCTCCGACCACCTGGGAATTCGGAAGCATGCACCATTGAAAAACATCCCTAGGATCAAACCTTTGGGAAGACTTCTGCCACTCAAAGCCACCAAGAGCCACTATCCAAAGAATCTTTGAGGGCTCATTAGGCTGACAGATTCGGCCCTTCTTGGCTGCTTCCGTTCGCTGAAGCTGCCACGAAACCAAGATGCCATACCTCCACTCAATGCCCGTTTACCTTTGGAGAATCAAAAACACATTGCCAGCCCAACAAGTGGAAGATCGCAATCCGAAGTATTTGAGTTTTTCGCACCCATCCCAAGGCTGAGGGGCCGTCCCCATTTTCCCAAATGGATACGATGGTGGGATGCTCCTTTAGATACTGCAAGGAACAGCAACAACAAAAACCCATGGAAAAGCCATGCTGGGTCATCCCAGTGTATAAACCCGTTGCCCGAGGAACAAAAGCAAAAACAACAATCTTTACGACCTAAACCCCCATTGTAGGACACAACGATTGCCCCTGTGATCTCATGCGACAGTGCCGTCCCTGTGATCTTGAACTACTTTTGCAACGCTTTGGCAAATTGACCTATTGCTATCTGAAGCCCGCAATATAGAGTCATCTTGTCTCAGGTCAAGACCATGCCATGGTTGCCATATGTGATCATATGTGTATGTAAACAAACAGAGATAGACCTTTTGGCGTAAAGGGTCAAACAAGTACCCTCCAGAAACACAAACCCATATATGGCTCGTTGGTATCGTGCCTCTTGGGCTGTTCAAAATGGAGGGTTGGCCAATCCCCCATCATCTTTTTGTGCAAACCACTAGGGGGAGCCAGGGCAGGGAGCCAGGGATTGCCCTTGAACAGCCAAGTCTTTTGAGAACGGTCTGCAAGAACTGAGTGCGTCAAACTGCCGTGAAACTCAAGGGGGATGTTTGGAGTAAACGTGACCGGGCACCCAAACTCCATTTAGATGGTCGGCTTGTGCTGCCTCACTATCCTCGCCGAAAGCCCAACACCGTGGTAGCCTTTTGTGGGGCGTCCCCGATGTCCTCATGACCAGAAAAGGTGCCCTTGCTGAATTGGCCAACGCGGGAAACTGCCGGCCAAGCATGTGTCGCCTTGACAGCGGACGCCCCGTTTGCAAGTGATGAAGCTTAGGCAGGGACCTGCAGTCAATGAAAAAACAAAACACATCGGTGTGCAGCATACGGCGTGCAGTAGCTTGTCTCACCTAACAAGCACCCGCAAAAGTTCGCAGAAGAAAAACACAAAGGTCGGACACACCCTTTTCAGAGCAGGATTCTGCGTGTTCATTTCACGGGCCCCTCCAAGCTCCGCGCTTAACAGTGTCGAAGTTGTCTCGCCCATCATTGCCCGAAAAGACCTTGCAGGTCTGCTGGTTCACCTGAGACGTCAGGCGAACGTAGAAACCGGGGCAACAAAGCAAGTCCTTCATTGCTCCATTACCTTTGCAAAACGCTCGTGACGCAAAATTACTGAAACCTATCAAAACGCATATCGGTCCTCTGCATTGCCCTTAGGAGGAGATCACCCTGGCACGCGCAAACGGAAATACACTCATAGCTACTGCAACCACAAGGCGCTTGCCCATGGAACTCCATCAGCTTCTCAAGGCCCCACATGGGGGTTGTACGAAATTACTTTGTCTGGGAACGGGAAAGCTCTGCGTAGTGGCACGCAACCTCTCTTGAAGGGGCAAATTGGTTGGCTTTGATGGGCGTGGCAGGCTGGCACAGAATCATAACGCCATGCGGTGCGTAGGCTGTTGCAAATGTCAACTGTTGGCAAAGCTTCACCGAATCTCATTCAACACACAGGATGTTTACCCAGCATTGATATGCTAGACTGACACCAACAACACCCAAAATACTGATCACCCACAAGCCATGAAACCGGACGTCTCACCCTCCTGCAGATCCAGGTTTCAAAACCACATCCGCCTGGTACCAAGGCCGCCAGTTGCTATGCATACTTGAGCCGACCATGTAACCAACCAACGAACCAGCCAACCAGCCAACCAACCAACCAATCAACCAACCAACCAACCCAGCAACAACCACCCAACCAACCAACCAACCCAGCAACAACCACCCAACCACCCACCCACCCACCCACCCACCCACCCACCCACCCACCCACCCACCCACCCACCAACCAACCAACCAACCAACCAACCAACCAACCAACCAACCAACCAACCAACCAACCAACCAACCAACCAACCAACCAACCAACCAACCAACCAACCAACCAACCAACCAACCAACCAACCAACCAACCAACCAACCCAGCAACAACCACCCAACCAACCAAACAACCAACCATGCAACCAACCAACCAACCAACCAACCAACCAACCAACCAACCAGCCAGCCAGCCAGCCAGCCAGCCAGCCAGCCAGCCAGCCAGCCAGCAGCCAGCCAGCCAGCCAGCCAGCCAGCCAGCCAGCCAGCCAGCCAGCCAGCCAGCCAGCCAGCCAGCCAGCCAGCCAGCCAGCCAGCCACCCAACCACCCAACCACTCAACCACCCAACCACCCAACCACCCAACCACCCAACCACCCAACCACCCAACCACCCAACCACCCAACCACCCACCCACCCAACCAACCAACCAACCAACCATCCACCCACCCACCCACCCACCCACCCACCCACCCAACCAACCAACCAACCAACCAACCAACCACCAAACCAACGAACCACCCACCCACCCACCCACCCACCCACCCACCCACCCACCCACCCACCCAACCAACCACCAACCCCAACCAACCAACCAACCAACCAACCAACCAACCAACCAACCAACCAACCACCAAACCAACGAACCACCCACCCACCCACCCACCCACCCACCCACCCACCCAACCAACCAACCAACCAACCAACCAACCAACCAACCAACCAACCCAACCAACCACCCAACCAACAAACCAACCAACAAACCAACCAAGCAACCAACCACTAACCAATCAACCAACCAACCAACCAAGCAAAATCGGCTGCACCGGGCCAATCCGGCCAGGTGGCACGGCAATCGTCTCGCCATCTCTTCAGGTCCTGAAGCCGTTTCCGCGCCCGGTTTGTGCCTCTAAAACGCAATGGGTGTGTGTGTGTTTACCCATCAGCCCGAGCAAAGCCATTGTCAAACTACTCGTATGACCATGTTCCCCTCCGCCAAGCTGGCGAGGCGCTAAGACTTCAAGAACCGGAAGCCAAAAGTCCAACGTTCTAAGCACATCACAGAATCCACGTTCAACATGGACAGTGCATGTGCAAGGGCGCAAAGTTCGCACAAGGGCGCAAAGTTCGCATGTAGAAATATATATATATATATATGGTGTATGTATATATATATATTGTATCTGTGAATATCATGTGCATTGCACAGGCAAAAAAGGCGATGCTGAAACCCACTACAAGGCACACATGGGAAACTTCGAGGAATGGCACCGGTGGAACAAAAAGAGCAACCACTTATCAAGTTCCCCCGCAAGGCGCTGGAGAGTTCCCCACTAAAACTCATGGCTACCTGCAAGTAAATGATGACCAGGATTCATGAAAATAATGATTGATTGACAGAGTTGGGGAAGCACACCCAATGCGGCAGGTTTTTTCATCGAGCTCCCGGAATCCATGCGCAGGGGGGGAGTTCACTGCAACCTATGTCCTCATCAGAACGGTCAGCTTTTTCTTGGACCATCTCAGCACTTCCAAAGAGGCAGACCGAGACTTTGAGCCATAGATTCGTCCAATCTCACGATGCGTACTCGCTGTGTACAAAAAAGGGGACTGCTTTGGGAAACTCACAGATTATGGTTCATGTAGCATGCATACACTGCAAAACTGAACAAACGTGCACATCCCCCCGGTGGTTTCCCCTTGAGAACATCACAGGTTGTGGTTTCTTCAGCACCCATAATCACCCATACCTTCTGTCCTCGTAGGCATCCTTGCAAAAGGTCACGAAAAGCATCCCGCAAAGCGGCACCAGTGTGGCCCAAGAGGTCGTGGGCGAAATCCTCGAAATGAAATGGGTGTTGTTTCGCATTCATGGCTGCCAAGCATCTGCTCTTTGACTTGATGCAACCCCCCTTCCAGCTATGATGGATTCTCACGACCAACGGTGGAGGAAGGAGGCAGCGGGTTACTCTCAAAATGGGATGTGGACCCCCAAGAATCAGGTGGCATCCTCTTTGACAAAAGGAGCAATCACGGAATGCAAGTTGGAACCCGCCAACTGGGTTGCACAAAAAGGTCTCCCTTTCAGCTTGGCCTTGGATTCTTTGGTCTGAGCGTGTGGCACTCCTGAGCTTGGTGACCACATGGACCCTGTCCAACTATTGCCCACTCCAGAGGCACGTCATGGTGAATCGCTATGAACACTCCAGAGGCAAATGCATTCAAACGCCATGGTGAATCGTTATGAACATGACAATCCCCGTAGTGCCTGCATTGGGAGTTTCTGTACGCACACTTGCTCCGCAGGAAGCACAGGACACTATTCTTCTGTAGATCGGGCAACTTTGGCGCTCCAGCTGGTCAAATGTTGGAGCCATTGCGCGCAAGTTGCCGAACCACCTGAGGCCTGTTTCACTTAAAACAAGCCCACGTTCATTGTGCTATGACTCGTCGGCCTCCCCAAGACCTTCAGAAAACCACAGGTAAATAGTTCGACGCGTGCCATCCGAGCAGCTTGAAAGGCAGCATCTGCAAAGTGGAAACGATGAGGAACCAAATGTTCGCGACCCGGTGAAACTGCTCGAACCTGAGATCAACCGGAGAGTTGGCTGTCGACGGCAATGATGAAATCGCGTGCCTTGTGCACACTAAATAAGTGCTCGGTCCAGGAGAGATGCTACTTTGTGAGAATGAACGCGGAAATAGCAATCGCGATTGGGAAATGCTCCCACTATGTAGCAATCGCGAATGCAATGAGGCCTCCATATATTTCTCCTTTGCATATCACCCCGAGAGGAAACTCACTCAAGCCTTGCGACTAGGTGGTCTGAGACGGCTACGCGAAAGGTGCAACTGAACACATATATATATATATGTATAATTATTATCATTAGTATTATTAGGATTATATAATATACATATGTGATATCAATGTTCGCTTCTGCAAATAATATATATATATATATATGTAACATGTGTACCTTGACATTCCTGACCTATGATTGTGCTCCCCTAGGCCCCGTCCAACAAGCCACAGACTGCATAACCCCCCTTGCATCGCTAGAGCCTCCAGATGTCTCTAGTGCAATCTCTGGCCTCTTTTGCAAGGTGTGCGAATACTGCCAGATGACGTGCGTCGCACGGAGTTCTTTTCCCCTACCTCTCCTCCCAAAACATGAACACTTAGACAACACTTGCAACCAATTAGTGATGTTTGGGACGCCCACCCAAGGAACAAGCCACCCCTGTTTCCAGCTTCTGCCGTACATTTCCCCTTACATCACCCTCTAGATTCCCTTACATGTTTGGGCTTGCTGGTGACCAGCTGAGATAAAAGGCGATCACTAAATCGGCAACTCGCACCAGGCGAATTGACACTGCCCAATGGGGTGCCCCCGAAATCCGAAATTTGTCCGGAACAAAAACACAGAACGTGCGTCTCAAATTTTTGCGCTCTTAAGCCTTGTCTGGCGGGCACTAGCCAAGGTAGCATTAAAGAAAGCAAACAAACAAACAAACAAACGAACGAACAAACAAACAAACAAACAAAAACACAAACCAAAAAAATATAATACAAAGAAACAAACACACAAACAAACAAACAAACAAACAAACAAACAAACAAACCAAACCAAAGAACCAACCAACGAACAAACAAACAAACCAACAAACGCAGCAAGCAAGCAAGCAAGCAAGCAAGCGAGCGAGCGAGCGAGCAAGCAAGCAAGCAAGCAACCGACGCGATCCGACGCGACCCGACCCAACAAACATAAAACGGAAACAAGAAAGAAAGCAAGCAAGCAGGCAAACAAGTAAGCAAGCAAACAGGTAAGGAAGCTGGGCTGTTGGATGCCCCGGACCAATCCTTCAAGTTTGGAAATAGGGGGTCTTCAAACTGCCTGCGCAGTAATCCTCGGGATCCCCTTGTAGTTCTTCTCGGGGTACTTGGCAGCCAGCATTCATTGAGACATGGGCAAATTCTCCCCCGACTTTGGCCAAGTGAGGCCAAGGCGCAAATTCAAAGGAACAATTGTCCACAATTTGTATCGAGTCGTCGACACCTCAGCGCGTCCGTGCAAAAGAAGCAGCACAAAAGCAACTAAGTCGGCGGGCTCACCGCTTTTGACACACTCCATCACATGCAAGCCAACTCTTTTGCATGAACACAACGCAATCATTCCATTGACATGCCTAAGGCTATGAACTGCGTCAAACGCCAACACGTGCCAGGAATAGAAGAGGCCCCTGTATTAGGATACCATTAGGCTTGCCTTGCCTCACCACAAGGCATTGATTCCCTTTCATACTAACCATCCCCGTTCAGAAACAGAAAACAACACCTAAGAGGGCTTCCTGATCTCTGCCACGGAAACACTACCACCCCCAAGTGAAAGCGGGATACCGTGATACCCCAAGGACTGCAAGTCGCAAAGGAAAGAGCGGGCTCCAAATCCATCTCGGTCAACCGGTCGAACCCGTGAAACTCAGGCAGCGCAAACACACGCCTTCGCGGATGTCCCGAGCTCCAGACATAGTTGCTGGAGAAAATCTGCTGCTTGCGCACATTGGGTCCGAAGGCGATACGCCTGCGACTCGAATCACAGGTGCCGTGTCGAAGCCCTAAGGCCCCAAGCACCAAGGCTGTTCTGCAACAAACATGCAGCATGGGATGAAGATGATGTTACCCCCTGCAAATGCATTAACATAAAATCGCAGTAATTAGCCGCCGTTCATGGAGCCATCTCTTTCAGGGTGCCCCTTGTGGTGATCCATGTGTCAAGTAGAATGGGAGTACCTCATGTCACCCCTCACCGCCGCGACTTCCACAATCAAGGTTGGAGAAACCGCACTTGAAGCACGAAGGGGGCACGGCAACTATGCCGCAAGGTGCGTTGGCAACAAGGCACATCTGCCTCCAGGACTCCATTTAGCGTATTTTGCAGTGCTTCCGCAAAGGAACGCAGTACTACGGCACCGGGCACTGATCCCCACCATGAAGGGATCTGACAACTTTCCCAGAAGAAACCGCCCCAAACCCGCGAGCAGAAACCTCAACTTCCAAACTGCGGAGGGAGGCTTGGGGAAAAGACACCTATCAACCAGTCCAAACCTTCTTCCAACTAAAAATGCGATCCGCTGCAAAAACGGGATGCTGAAGTGGGATTCCCTATGCCGTGCTTAAGGCGGGCAACCAACTTCGCACATCAAACGGCGAAACGGGAGATCGAGGCTTGTGGCTGGCGCCTGCGACCTTCTTGGAAGCGGCTGCTGGCAGGTGTAGCTGCGGTCGGGGTTTCAGTTGCCTCCTTGCCGTCAGGGAAAGCACCCTTGCTGGTGCGCTGGGAATTTTGGAATGACCCCCATCACCATCCTTGTGGCTTCCTTTAAGGGAATCCCCACGTTCATTCCCTCATTCGCAACTGAGCACCAGCAAGGCACTCCAAGGCCGAAAAGCTTTGGCACAAAGCTCTAAACCGTCGGCTTGCATTGCCAAGGACATCACACACAGGCAGGTGACATCACAAAGGCCTGTGGCCCACCAGTCGGCCTGTTTTCGCTTAAAACGCATCTAAAGGGAGCTTGGGTGCTCTTAGTTGCGCGGTTTCTACTCCCTTTAAGAATCTCTGGCCGTCCCAAGAAGAAGCGGGAGTGCCGTTGAGAAAACCTGACAGGGATTCAAGCGAATGATATTCCCATTTGACAAAACAAGTTGTCATAAGAACGGCCCAAGGCTTATTTGCCACAATCATGGCTGTCATTCTTGGCAATCTCTTGCTGCGGGTTCGGCAACATGGTAGCTGTTTGCCTGCTTTTGCCATTTGCGCTGCGTATGTGGTGAACATATGCCATCATGCGGACCATTCTTGGGCATAGTAGTTGTAGGCGTGTTTTTGTTGCTTTGTGTGGGGTGCCTCGGTGCTTGATTGAGAATGAACGGACTTCGCATGCCATTAACACTTCAACGTTTGGGTGGAAGAAGGCACGCGGACAACAAATACATCAACTTCAGACCCAGAATGTTGCGGGACAATGTGCCATAAGCCAGTGGCCCTGAAACCTAAGTTTCCACAACAACGATGACAACCCTCATGATGAGTTCGTCTGCTTGCCGCCACTCCACTAGCCTGCCCTCTAATCAACGGTGATGCTACCCTCCCCAAACAACCAACGGCCGGAATCTGAATGATGAACCCTGGCCCATGTTTGGTGAAAACCGCCCAATCCAGGCGGCCCATGTCAGAAACCCGGACTCACCCGCTAGGTCCTCTGGTTTCATCCTGCACGCCTCGCGCAAGGGTGATGACACCAAGTCCACACCAAAGCGAGTCGCATCCGCGTGGCAACGGCCACCATACGAACGATGATAACCTCCAATGCCAATCAATGTCATACAACAATAAGAGTCTTAATTCAGACTAGCAATAAGCATGTGATAAATGCACGTATTATCCTAATATTTAAATTAATGAAACAAAATGGTAACGAAGTTCACCATCATCACCACCGTCATCAACATCATCATCATCATCATCATCATCATCATCATCAACAACGCCAACAACGCCAACAACGCCAATTGTGCCACAGCCGCAGCCAACGCCGCCATAACAACGACAACATAACATCAAACCGCAATCACAACCGCCACCACAATCACTGGAGCAACATTTACAGCGACTGCAGCCGCAGCCTCAAATGCAGCCCCATCAGCAGTAGCACAACCGGAAAAGACAGGAATGCGTGTTGCATATCGATCGAGTTCCCAAGGCATGCTTGCAGGCAAGCCAAAAGTGGGCTTTCAGAACGGTCACACGAATCATTACCCTCAGGCTGGCCCAGGTTGGAGTTGATGTAAATCAGGCAACGCATGTGCACGATATCGCCCTAGGCTGTTTCATACCCACGTGTGATTCGCCACCAGCAATAGATCAGATCAATGACATCGTATAACAGCATGATAGAAGGTGCCTCAAATTCCTGCTTGTGGCCCAACAAGATTCAAGTTCACCCAGCTGGGCATGGCAAACCCTGCCAGAATTTGCTCCAACCCGAACGGGTTCACTCGGCATGATTGCGCACCGGAAATCGTCACCCTAGCAGTCTAGGAATGAACCCATTGAATCAGTTTTGTTTGGCGATATGTGACGTGCAAATCCGCATCCATGGCTGCTGGTGATGCCTGTGCTGCTGCTGATGCTCGTGATGCCTTTGATGCTGGTGATGCCTCTGAACTGGTGATGCCTCAAAGTATCTAGCCAGAGCCAAGGCTGACAAACAAACATGCCAGCCCTTGAGAAGGCACGCTTATTTGGGCGAACCCGCAAAATCCAGAGGACGCGTGTCCGGACTTCCGAACTATTCAATTTGTGGTCAAAAGTATTGCACAAATGCAAGACAAAACAAACCCCTAGCGGCTCCCACTAAACGGTGAACCACATAAGTCAAGAGAGCGACTTGCCGTTCATTCATTTCGCTCCGCCCAATGTCAAGGCTTCAAGAGTCCCAAGGGACCTATCAAGTCCCGTGATTCTACATATTACTTGTTTTGACAAATTCCGAAATCGCACTTATGTAGAGTGATTCAACCTGGAATCACTTTAATAACCAAAGGGACCCCCCTATGGATCAAGTTGCTCACCGGTTGCCCACCCGAATGCCAGGAAATTGCGCGTCCCAAGCCCAGTGGCCATGCAACAAACCTGGCCGGCCACTTTTCTAGATGCAAGGGAGGCAAAGGGAAGCAAGCAATCAACCTAACCAATCTGCCAAGCAAGCAGGAAACCAAACCTAAAGACCAAGAAAAAGGCAAGTCTCAGTCGACTTATGGACTGTAAATCTGCTGAAAAGTTCTATTTGTTTCCCTGGGGCTAGGGCCAGAAAGAAAGCAAAGTCTTGCCTGCAATCGGGCTGGCCACTCATGGCGATTCCCGGATCCGGGGCAAGCAAGTGACTTGTGCCAAACACCGCGGGATGCGCGGTACGAGGAAGCACGTGACTGAATCAAGTACAAGGGGGATATGCATTCGAACTCTAAGGTTTGTCCTTGTGACACCTCGGTGTGTGGCAGTGGCAGGTTGCCAAGGTCAAACAAATATATGAAAGTATTTTGGTGGCCTTGTTTGGCTGCTCTGCAGCGGAATCATGTTTGATAGCGACATGGCCATTCACATGCTTGATTTGTCAAAGCTGCTGTTTCCCCACTTTTCCCCGCTGCGATTGCAAACATTTTGGAATTGATGGCTGACTACGCTGATTAACTTTGTGGTACCCCAGTTTGGCATAGCTGATTTGCTCGCATGGGTGGCTTGGCAGGCTCGCAGGCTTGCAAATTGCCATCAAGGTGTGAGCCTTTCTGATGGCTGGTCATTTGGACAGGTCGACCGCCTGCGCCCGTGGTTTCCCAAGCGTGAAGCGAACATTGAACTCGGCCTGCCAGAAGCGGGAAGCCCGGGTCGGTAAGACTCGTGTCCCATGTTTGGGACCCTTGGCCCACTGGCTCAAACCCATCCGACACGTTGGAGGCATCCATTCCCCGGATTGCATGATACAACTCACAACTTGTGCATGGCACTACTCTCCTCACACAATACCGTGGCGCTGCAAAGCTATCCCATATAGGCTTAAGATTGGTTTCAACGGAGAACCAAGAAACCCAAATGGCTTCCGTAGGTGTTCAACAGTGGGTTTGGAACAAATGAGCTCTCAAATGTTCTGTCATACCCTGGCTTTCCTCAGATAAGAAACTAATTGGCAACTCAGCACCCCGCTGCGTAACCCAAAGCTAACAAGAAACCCTTGCAGGCACGGGTGCGCAGCCGGGCGCACGTCTCAGGGGAACAAGCGATGGTGATCAAACTCACTTGACTCTGGTGGCTTTCTCTTTGCTCCAGTTGCGCCGCATGCAAATAACAGTATCATGAAGCCACTTTCCTCAACAAGATCAGGAAAACACTGAAGGCGCATATTGTCCTCGTCGCATGGAACGTTAAACTGGAGAATTCCAACTTCGGCGGGATGTCGACTTTAGACAACTGGACTCTCCCCGTATCCAGGGCCACCAACCCATCAAGCGGTTGGAAACCCTTCGGCGTTTACCATGTACAAGGCTTTGCTGGTCGGATCTGGTTAGTTCATTCTTTGGGGCAACGCTCCGAATCTAGCTGCCTGCGCTGTCCAATGTGTTGTGCCAAAAATTGCCAACCGACCTGATCAGCCGATTGGGACGTCAAAAGGTAGCAACTACTGGCAAATGAGGCAACGCCCCCTGAGCCCCCCCTGAGCGCCATGCATCACTTGCCACTCCCTGAGGTGCCCAATTGCGCTGCATGTCCTGACAGAAACTCATGGCTTCGGGCCCCCGGTCTCGTGGGGAGTCCGGAGGTCCATTGCCTTACCCGTCAACTCAAACAGTACAAAGGGCGAGGCTTGTAGACCCTCAGCTTGCCTCTAATTAGTTACAGTACACCATGCAGCACTTTCCATATCATGCCTGCTCCGTAAAAATATCGGAAAGCCCAAGCAAACAACACAAAACACAAATAATTGCCCACTTCAGACACAAGAAATGAGAGCGAAAATAACACACATACGACGACATAAGCGTGTCAAGCCTCCCTCCCTGCACATTTGCCGTTTCCACGTGCACTAGCGCACCATTGTCCAAATCCCAAAGCATCTTCGGAACACCCAGATACCCAGTCCCCCTGGCAGAAAAATTGCAACGCTTTCGGGGGTTGAGTGGGGAACCCACACAAAAAGGAGCCACCAAAGAACTGGGAGTCATGTTTTGCTGCACTGTGTGATGCATCAGCTTTGGTCTAGGGCCGCTGCCACCGCCATCTCTCAGCCTGGTCGCATGCTCCGGGCCCGCTTGCGGTAGCCAAGCTGA